ACTAACTGCTAACTGCAATGAAGACGCGCTTGCCACTGATTCACTGCTTGGCTTAATTGAGGATAGAATTAGGGTGTTAGAGAGCGGTGACAGGCCCAACACAGGGACCTACTTAGCTTATGAAAATGAAGCTTACAGAAAAATGCCAACTATTGTTTGTGAAATTGAGGGTAAACCGATCACTTTTTTAGTAGACTCTGGTGCAACCCACAGTGTGATTCAGACAAAGGAGCTCTCAATCAAATTAAGTGGCAGAAGTGTTTTTTCCACAAGTGCGAGTGGACAAACGGTACCGGAATCTTTTTCTGTTCCGATCAAATGCACTTGGGCAAACGAGCGTAACCCAGCAACAGCAAAACATTCATTTTTGATGTCTGACCTTTGTCCTGTAAACTTGTTAGGCCGTGATTTAATGATAAAATGGGAAGTTGTGATCACATCGACAGCAGAAGGCCTTAAAATAGACAGAGGTGCGTGCGCAACTAATTTTGTCAAAGTAAACACAAATTGTCCTATGTCTGTATATCAGTGGTGGTTTCATACTGCCAGCGCGAGTCATTTAATGGGGGTGGTTTCTCCATTTCTTAATCCAAAATCTGATATGTTGAAAGCTGAGGACTTGCATTGTGTGTGTCATTTACACCATGGCCCTGATTGTGAATTTGAAGAAACGTTTAAACTGGGCTCAAATGACTGCTTGATTATTGCTGACGTGTACTTTGATGATTCCAAGTGTGCTGTTTCAGTAGAGTTAAGCCAGTCACAAAAACAATGCTATCGTCTTGAAAATTCAAGTCCTCATATTTCAATAGCAAAAGCAAAGACTGACACATGGCAAACCTTAGGCCTTTTTGTACGCAGATGTACTTTGGCAGAGGACTGGGAGGCGTGTGAACGTGGAGAAAATGTGTTTTATTCACAATCCGTTTGCGCGTATAAAATGTCTCATACGAAGACAGTTGATGTGCTAAATTCAGTGCTTTTGACGTCTTCATATGATAACAATGACGGACCAAATTTTACTCTGACTTCTTTGACTTCTCCGCTTGAGATTTCATCTTTGTTGTCACAAGTACCGGACAGTCTGTGGGCAAAAAGTAAACATGATGTTGGTTTGATCAAAAACTGTCCACCTGTTCGTATTGAAGCTAAATCTGATTATAGACCGAGGCAGCGTCAATATCCTTTGAGACAGGAGGCCATAGAAGGAATTACACCTGTTTTTGAATCATTTCTTGAGGCTGGCATTATTGTCCCATGTGAGGACTCACCAGTGCAGACACCTATTTTTCCTGTAAAGAAAATTAGACCAGCAGATAAACCTACAGAGTGGCGTTTTGTGCAAGACTTGAAGGCTGTGAACGCTGCGATCATCTCTCCTGTTCCCAATGTGCCTAATCCACACACTCTTTTAAGTCAGATACCAGCAGATGCAGAGTGGTTTTCTGTAGTGGACTTATCAAATGCTTTCTTTTCTGTACCTGTGGACAGGGATTCACAATTTTGGTTTGCCTTCTGTTTTAATGGAAAAAGATTGTTATGGCCAGATTCCCGGCACAAGATATTCTAATCATTTAGGTCGATACATGCGTCTTCTTTCCCAGCGTCTGAAACCCGCTTCCCATCACTGTTTGAAACATTAAGACAAAGGCTGCTTGTCCACGGTCCTCTTTCCCATAACCTTCGCCACCACCTGCATGGGCCTATCTCAAATGTTCTTACAGCGTGTTCCTTGTTATCAAATTCGAAGGTCCTTTTCTGCGCTTAATGTATCTCTCTCAAACTTTCCCGTCTGCAGCTGCGTATGACTCATCTCTCTTGTGACGATTGTCCATTGTTCTGTCTGACACACCTCCAGTATAAGATCATAAGACATGTTTGTTGGGGAGAACAGACAGACACGGCATCGCTCCAGGTGCCGCTTCTGTTTGACTCCTTTCTGCGCAGAAATGTCATTTTGTACTCATCACTTCTGTGAATAAAACTGCACCAAAGGACAAGTTTGTTTCCTCTCGGTTTCATTCATTTGAGGCAATAGAATTTCCATAACACCATTCACACACACACACCAGACTCATCCTAGGCAATGTGTCTTGACTCTTGCCTAAGGACACAACAGTTTGGCCCCACTGTAGCACCTGGTGTTCCCAGAGGTCTCATCACAGTACTGACCAGGACTTAACCCGCTTAGCTTCAGAATTCTGACAGAATTTGGTTTTTACACAGGTATGGCCATCCTGCTGAGTTCCGACCATGGTTCCGACATGCCAGGAATTTTAAGCCAGTGTCAATTACTATAATGGAAAAAAGTCTACTCTATCCTAGTAGCAATTTACCCACAACAAACCAATATCTGGGGAATTCCTTGGTAACCATGGCTTCCAGCTGCACTCTAGCCTCATAGAACACTTTAGTACCAGCTCGGCCTGGTTAGAACCAGAGCCAAGAGGGACTAAAGACAAACCGGGTACTGGTTAAACAGGGGGAGTGGAAACACTCCCAATCAAGAGAGAGAAGAGTAGAGTAGAGTAGAATAAAGAGACGACAAAAAAAAGAAAAAGAAAAAAGAGAATCCTCCAGCTCTGGTAGTCCTGACCAAGCCAAGCATCATCTGGAGATGGGTTCCCGGGCGCTGTACTATGGCGACCACTGCTCCTGACGTAAACCTATCAGGATGGGTCAAATGCAGAGGATGAATTGCCCTACAGGAATCAATACAGTGCACCCTTTAACCCCCCTTTAAAGTTGTGCGTACTTAGTGTGCACTGGCCAAAAGAGGAGAGAGGAGAGGAGAGTGGAGAGGATGGGAGAGGAGAGGAGAGTGGAGAGGATGGGAGAAGAGAGGAGAGTGGAGAGGAATGGAGGAAAGAGAAAGGAGAGGAATGAGAGGAGTGAGAGGAGAGGGAAGAGAGAGAAGAGGGCAGAAGAGAGGAGAGGAGAGAAAAGAGCAGAGGACAGATGGGGGAGCAGAGAGGGATGGAGGAGAGAGAAGAGTTGGAAGAGAGAGAAGAGAAGAAGAGAAAGGAGGTGACAAAAAAGTATTATAAAATAATAATAAAAATAGATAGCAGAGATAATCATACACAAACATACAAAACAGCGCTTGAAACACAGAGACAGATGTAGCGGATCAGAGCAGGACGAGGCTCGGGGCACAAACAGACCTTACGCCCACTCCGCGGCCCACGCCGAGGCCCACGCACCTCCGCAGCGGTACCGTGCAGTCTCATGTGATAGGTCAATAAATGTCACGCTTCAATCCGGAGCAGAAAAACATCACGAGAGGAAACAATGAACAGTGTGCAGTAGAAGTCTCACCTTGAGGAGGACGTGATGCTCTGGTCCCTGTGGTGTCTGCACTAAACATCAGTTTGACTTAACGTCCATGTGTTTTAAACCGCAGACTGACGTTTTCTGCTCCCAACTGACGCACGTGCTCCATCGGTCCCAAAACATTCCCGCCCCCGATAGAGGGAACCAATCACACGACAGATGGGCACAGAGAACCAATGACAAGGTAGAAAAGGCGGGACATGTCGAGTTTATATGACAGACAGGTGCATGGACCAGTCAGTCTCGTTCCTGATTGGCAGTTCGGTTGCCATGCCGCTGCTATGAAAGAATTACAGTCTGATATCTTTGTAATGTTCTATAAAGCCTACTAACGATATATTGCATATTCTGCCAGAGTTGAACATGATTGCTATATTATTCACATGTAATACACATTTTGAGTAACTTAAGTTTATTACGTAATTTTATTTTATACTTATTACCATTTCTAAACGAATAGTTTACCAAGTTCTCTCTGATGTCACATATCCATCCACACAAACATGACCAGAATCATATTGTCCAAGAGTGAGGACATTAATGCAGGCTTAAAGTGGTTAGCTATGCTTCTAAGTTCAGCACAGCTGCATTCTGCTGCATGTTTCCATTGCCATATTCTGAGTGAAATTCCTTAGACAAAATTTATGATTCGAGTTAGGGTGCTAAGAGAGGAGGGTAGAGTAGAGCTGGGTTGGGTAGGGTAGAATAGAGCAGACTAATGAAAAAGCCTCACATCTCTTGTTGCTAGCTTCATAAATATCCCTCGGAAGTCCATAAAAATAGACAAAATGCACCTTACACACACACACACATACGGTGTTCATCAGGACATAATTTTAACCTGAAATCATTCAGCCACAAGAACAGATCAAACAGTTTACAGTCAGAGGATTTTATTAGAAATTCGGCCACTTTAATCCAGGGTTTTACTTGTCAACTGTAAAACAAATGTTTCAACACTCAACGAGCTGCAGCCGTCTCCCGTGTGAACACATTTGAGCCGTGTCTATGTTGTTGTTGGTCAGATGAAGAATGGAACAAATCAGTTTTTGTCCAGAAAGACAAGGATAAAGTGAACCACAGTATTTCCAGCTGGTATGAAAAAGAAAAAATACAGAAAACGGTGAATGTTAAGAACCTAAACCATAACAGTTTGTTTGTTAAACCAAATCCTATTGAATAAATGTACCTCATATTATTGTATTTTATCAGATTGTTTCAGTATGAATCGCCATCACAGATAATTGCAGAACAGAGCAACATCCCCTACACATGACACAAGCAGAAAGAGATACCTCTCTGTAGCAGAGTAGGCCCGTAGCGTGCATACCCACACAGACAGGGAGCGCGGAGAAGCGGCTGACCACAGAGTTCATAGTTTCTGTGGTCAGATGTATGTTTGTCCTCATGGTCTAGAGTCACAGACTATTGGCACAAGTTCTTATGTAGTTTGACTGAAAGCAGACAGAGGAGCAGGACACACATCTGGGCTTGAATAAAGGCAGAAACTTGTTTAAATAATGCCACAGTGGAACATTATTGTACACGGCAATGATGATGTTTAAGGTTTATTTATGAGTGACAACAATGGGACGATTCAATGATCTAAAAGTAACATGATAGAGATGTGGATGAGGGAAGAGGGGGGAGGAGGGGGGAGGAGGGGTCTAAGCCTCGGCCGTAGTGGGAAGAACCCTGACGAAGAGCGTCTTTGTGTCCAGAGACTTCATAGATGAATCCGCTGTCAGTTCTGTAGAACAGAAAGATAAGGTTTAAAACACAAACCAGCGAGGGACCAGCGAGAGAGCGAGAGAGCGAGAGAGCGAGTTCTGACAAATAGTTTTCACCAACTGTTCCAAAAGCACTGATCTCTGTTTTGGCCCCTCCCCTCGTTTGACCATTCCCCTCTCACCTTCGCTGAAGTCCTGGTCCATATAGAGCTTGAGTCGTCGGTCGCGGAGTCCAAACACTTTCCCCGCTTCTCTGAGCAGCTGTGGATGATCTAGAACGTTCTGACCCCGAGGGTTCAGCAGCAGCAGTGTGCCCACCTCACCCACCTGGCACTCTGAGGGAGACAGAGAACAGAGACTTAAAACATCCTCCAACCTCACCCTCCTGTCACTCAGAGTGACCAGAGAGTGATCAGAGAGATAGAGTGACCCGAAAGAGAGAGACTTGAGTGATGCGATAGAGCCCAGAGACCAGAGAAAGACCAGAGAGAGACCAGAGAGAGACCAGATGATCACCAGAAAAAGACCAGAGACCAGAGAGAGAGAGAAAGACAAAAAGAACAGAGAATGAACAGAGAAATACCAGAGAGACCAGAGAAAGACTAGAGACACCAGAGACAGACCGGAGACAGACCAGAGACAGACCAGAGACAGACCGGAGACAGACCAGAGACAGACCAGAGAGAGACCGGAGACAGACCAGAGACAGACCAGAGAGAGACCAGAGAGAGACCAGAGAGAGACCAGAGAGAGACCAGAGAGAGACCAGAGAGAGACCAGACAAAGACTTGCGAGAGACCAGGGAGTTTTCTTCGGCCTTTAAATAATTTGTGTTAAACTAGCGCAGGGGTGGCCAACCAGTCAGAGACTAAGAGCCATTTTTTTTACTTTGTTACAGCAAAGAGCCACATCATACAAATGTGCGCTACATAAACATCACCCCATCCCTTACACACGCACACACACGCGCACGTACGCACACGAGCAGACACGCGCACACACATGCAACCTGTCTGAGCAGAGAGAGGTGTGCTCTGCTCAGATAGATGTAAATGTCATCAACATGATAATGACAGAAATTGACTCGTACAGTACTAAAGGGCTGGACTCGACTCTCCCTGGTTTACGGGCACTTCTACCGCTCGCTTTAGCCGCTCCCCGGTACTTTTTATTGATGGTTCGGCCCTGGTTCTAACCGGGCGAGTCGATACCAGAACAATTGCACGTCAGCGAACATCAATTATGATTCCGAAATGAATGCTTTCAATCTCTAACCAAGAAAAAAAAATCAAGTTTCAACCCAGTATTCAGCAGAAACACAACTGTCTTTATCGAACCATGATTCACTCTCTGACTGTATTTAGTAAAAGATATAGATTTGACACATAAACACCAACACCACTTTAGCTGATTTAGAACCACAGACACATGCTCAGTATAAGACCAGATACTTTTGCATTTGATTGAAGACAGACACTCACCAGGCAGAGTTGGCTTTTCTCCTGGTGTAACGCTAGCTGGTGTTAGCTGGTTTTAGCATGTTAGCCGGTGTTAGCCGATGTCCGTAAATGTAATCCATTTGGTCAAACCACCTCCAGACTTTTCGGGTCTGCCTCTACTTCTGCTGCTGCGATCTTTCATTTCACGGTTGTCACTTTTAAGCTTTTTAACTTTTCTCTGCATTGTCATGTTTGTGGGAATCATTCTGCTCCGTCCTTAGCGCTAGCTCCACAAACACCTTCTGGTTTCTGGTGGAACCATCGAGCTCACGCTGGTGTCCTCTCCTCAAACTGAGGAAGGAGTTGCCCTCATCCAGCGACCAAGGAACTGTTTTCCGTACGGACGCCATGGGTCGAGGCAACGTGTTGTTTGTTATGATATTTAACAGCTGAGGCAGCGGCTGCAGAGTGGTTGACAGCGCATCTGACCAATCAGAATTGACGTTCGCCGACGTCAGATTGTTTTGGTGGCCTGGCTAGTGGAGTGAAGTCGGCCTTTACTATGGGTCAGAACTACATAGAGAATGAATGGCAGCGCCACCACCGAGGCGTTTTTGACGCTTGTCGTGTGAAAGCCCGAGAGCCGCACGGAACCAGCCAAAGAGCCGCATGCGGCTCACGAGCCGCGGGTTGGCCACCCCTGAACTAGCGGTTATATGGTCTCAGATCGTAAAACATCCCCATCTAGTGGTAGAAGTGAGAAATGACACTGTGCTTTTCCAGTAAACATGACGCCTGACATGGAGGGAACTATAAACAACTCCAGGTCTGTTTTGGATAAGGTAATAAACTTGCCTCTAAACATTTTGTTCAGTAAGAGATTATCCAGAACAGACGTAGGTTTGTGACATTGTGAACACTCCAAAAAAGACCCTTTAAAAGCTCATAAAAAAGGATTTCACTGTTCATTCTTTTGCGATTATGTTAATGCCAGAAATGAAGTTCTCCCACGTCTGCGCTCCACAAATCACATAGTTTGATTGACGGAGCATTAGCTGCAGAAATCCATTAAAAAGTTTGAGGATTGATGATTTTAATTGAACTAAACCGAGAACTCAAACTGAAAATGGAAAAGAGCCCCCTGCAAATAGTGAAGTGGAACGATGAGAACGTCTGTACCATGGAAGGATAAAGTAAACTCCTCTAGCTCAGTAATCATTTGTGTCACACTCACAAGCTTAGATTTAGAGACCAGAGGGACACCAAAGAGACCAAAGAGAGACTAGAGAGACCGGAGAGAGACCAGAGAGAGACCAGAGAGACCGGAGAGAGACCAGAGAGAGACCAGAGAGAGACTAAGGGAGACCATCACTTATCATCAACTTCAACTTCTTCCACTGCTCACCTGAGGGCTGCGCGTTGCAGAGGAGCAGGTTCACGTAGGGACAGAGCACAGCGTCACCGGAGACAGAGGTTGAAGCCGAGGAGGATACAGTCTGACCACTCAGACTCTGCAGGTCGGTTTTGGACGTCACCTCTAAAACATCAATATAATGGTCACATTTATACAGTGCTTTTCTACCTTTTCACAAATCCCCCACACGCACACACTTTTCTATTGGCCCATTCTATTGGCCTCGGGCCCCTCACCCTCGGGCCCCTCACCCTCGGGCCCCTCACCCTCGGGCCTCTCTCTCTCTCTCTGTGTGGCCTCTCTCTCTCTCTCTCTGTGTGGGCCTCTCTCTCTCTCTGTGTGGCCTCTCTCTCTCTCTGTGTGGCCTCTCTCTCTCTCTGTGTGGCCTCTCTCTCTCTCTGTGTGGCCTCTCTCTCTCTCTGTGTGGCCTCTCTCTCTCTCTGTGTGGCCTCTCTCTCTCTCTGTGTGGCCTCTCTCTCTCTGTGTGGCCTCTCTCTCTCTGTGTGGCCTCTCTCTCTCTGTGGCCTCTCTCTCTCTGTGGCCTCTCTCTCTGTGGCCTCTCTCTGTGGCCTCTCTCTCTCTGTGGCCTCTCTCTCTCTGTGGCCTCTCTGTGGCCTCTCTCTCTGTGGCCTCTCTCTCTGTGGCCTCTCTCTCTCTGTGGCCTCTCTCTCTGTGGCCTCTCTCTCTCTGTGGCCTCTCTCTCTCTATGGCCTCTCTCTCTCTATGGCCTCTCTCTCTCTATGGCCTCTCTCTCTCTGTGGCCTCTCTCTGTGGCCTCTCTCTGTGGCCTCTCTCTGTGGCCTCTCTCTGTGGCCTCTCTGTGGCCTCTCTCTGTGGCCTCTCTCTCTGTGGCCTCTCTCTCTGTGGCCTCTCTCTCTGTGGCCTCTCTCTCCCTCTCTGGCACCTCTCTCTCTGGCGGTTCTCTCTCTCCCTCCCTCCCTCTCTCTGGTCTCTTGTTCTCCTTGATCTCTCACCGTCTCGGTCTCCAGAGATTAAGAAAGAAAGACCAGAAAGTGAGAGGGCAAAAAAAGAGATTAGAGAGACCAGAGCTCCCACCATCAGAGCAGGCCCCTCTCACCTGTGGCCCCGCTGTAGAGCTGGACGTTCCCGTTGGTCCCGAAAACTATGCTGCAGACGCGCTTCAGTTTGTGGAAGTCGAGGCGGTTGTCGCCTTTGGGATTTTCCAACAACACGACGCCCTCTGAACAAACAAACGCACAAACATAGTAAATACAGCTGCAGTCAGTGCAAACACTTGCAGAGCAGTCACAGCAGTCACCTCGGTCCTTGTTGTTCACTTTCACTCTCACGTTGACGTAGGCGCACGCTGGTCCGCTCAGAGGAATCTTAGGAGTTGAGGATCCTTTGACGATGGTGAACTCCAAATCTGAGCCTTTAAGCTGTAGAAAAGAAGCAGAAGAATAAGAAAACTGGGAAACTATGTGCCCTCTGCTCTCAAGCAAGAAAAGCAACTTAAGGCAATGAGAACTCTTTTGGTGCACTCCATCCATCCATCCAGCCATCCATTTTCTTCGCCTTAATCCATTTCTGGGTCGGGGGGGTGGCAGTCAGAGCTGCACCCAGTCCACAGAGCACCAACCCCTCACTGATCCTCCTGCAGGTGGTGAGTCCACAGGAGCTGAGATCTTTCAGTGGGAGCTTCAGGCAAAGTGGGGTTAAGTGTCTTGCCCAAGGACACAACGACAGCAGTCATCAGTGGGAGTCGTGAAGAAGGTCTTAAGCCTGGTTTATACTCGCGCGGAGCTTACGGAGGTGACGTGACGTCACTTGCGCAACGCGTTGGTCACCGCAAGGCCCTTACGTTGCCTGCCCTGCAGCATCGAAATTTTCTAACTACGTAAGGGTCGCCGCAAGGAATCTCCGCTGTGATTGGTCCGTGTGTGTGTATTGGAAGGAAGCATGGAGCGGCTGCAGCAGGGACATGGACGAGGCACTATGGAGCAGAGAGCTTTGTGCTTCGAAGGAAAAGCAGTTTGGGCTCAGAGCCTGATATACAGGAGACTGTGGACTATCTAATATATATATAACTTATAAACTTTTCAGTCGTTTGTTTTGCACTGTTCCTGTCTTGTTTGAATCGTAGCTGCGTTTGTTGCTTTCCTCCTGCACTCGTAAATCGTTGATGTTTGTCTCAGATATTTATCACTATTATTGTTTTGCTGTTTGTGCTGAAAACTATTTAGTAATAACTATGTTTCCAACAAGAACTGTGTCTTTATTCACAGCATCACAGTTGAAATGACTTATAAAATAATGAATCCATAAAACTATCACATAAACCTACAGTAGAAACACATGTAATGAACTCAAACAGCTTTGTTTGCTATTGTTGTTCTGAAGAGGACAAAGTAGCAGCGTAAATGGGACCGCTCCTGTGTGATCGCCCTCATGTGGTTTGTTGTGGGATTACAACATTCTCCTCAAAACTCCGTAAGGGGAACGCGCCAGTATTACATCAATTGTGCTTACGTAGGTCCACCGCAACAGCTAACGTAAGCCACGCCGCGCAAGTATACTCTAGGCTTTATGGTGGGCTTGAACCCACAACCTTAAGACTCAAAGGCCAATGCTCTACCAACTTAGCCACTGTTTGGTGCACTCATTTGAAATAATGTTAGAATGTGCAATATGGATAGGATCACAAGTGTCCGTTGTCACTTTTGGCCTAGATCCTCATGCTAACATGTACAGTAGTTTTATCACAGAACATTTGAACCCTCAGAGCTAATGACTGATTACCCTAATATTCTTGGACTAGAGTGTAGATTTGTCTACAAATGTACACATACAAGTATATATTTCTTAAACACTAGGATCCCAGAGAGCCAGATTTAAGCCCAAAATGGTGAATGTGACAGAAAAAGCTTACTAAGCTAGGGGATTGTACTTTTACATGCAAGTCAATAGGATTCAGAGTGTTAGAGCCAAACTTTGTCCATGAGCACTTCCTATTGGGCTTATTGAGCTATCGGTTTAGCATTGTCCATCTGTATGCAGTCTATGATGAGGGTATACCTGGGTCTTCTCCTCTATGATGACTGTGCTGCTCTTGGGGACCGGGAACGGTAACATTGGCGCTTTAGTCGTGGCCAGGATGAAGTCATTATGGGCCTGGATCACAGAGTCCAAATACTCCCCCTTTGGCTGACACTGGTAGTACACCGTGATTTCATCAGAGGGAACCAAATGGGCCTGCAGGGAAGAGAGAAACATTACAAAATCATGGAGTTAGAGTCACTATGTGAAACAATCAGTAAGACAATGGTGAACTCCATCGTCTCACTCTGGCCTCTCTCTCTCTCTCTCTGACCTCTCTCTCTCTCTGGCCTCTCTCTCTCTCTCTGGCATCTCTCTCTCTCTCTGGCCTCGCTCTCTGTCTCTGGCCTCTCTCTCTCTCTGGCCTCTCTCTCTCTCTGGCATCTCTCTCTCTCTCTGGCCTCGCTCTCTCTCTCTCTCTCTGGCCTCTCTCTCTCTCTCTCTGGCCTCTCTCTCTCTGGCCTCTCTCTCTGGCCTCTCTCTCTCTCTCTCTGGCATCTCTCTCTCTGGCATCTCTCTTTGGCATCTCTCTCTGGCATCTCTCTCTCTCTGGCATCTCTCTCTCTCTCTCTGGCATCTCTCTCTCTCTCTCTGGCATCTCTCTCTCTCTCTCTCTCTGGCATCTCTCTCTCTCTCTCTGGCATCTCTCTCTCTCTCTCTGGCATCTCTCTCTCTCTCTCTCTGGCATCTCTCTCTCTCTGGCATCTCTCTCTCTCTGGCATCTCTCTCTCTCTGGCCTCTCTCTCTCTCTGGCCTCTCTCTGGTCAGCCTTGACACATAGATCTCCTACTGAGAGGATTTTACTCTTTGTGGTTTATTTTTAGAACACATCACCCCTGCAAAAAACCAGGGACCCGTGTTTATAAAGACTTAACTTCTTTCAAAAAGATAATTTTCCACTCATTGTACAGAAAGTGGAAAAAAAAAACTAGAGTTTACTTGAGTCAATATAAATTCAAATCAAAACTTTCAGGGCCAGCGATTGTGTCCTGAAAACACTGGGGGCTGTCTAACCTTGACAAACTCAAACATATTGATCTGTAAACTGGAGTTTTAAAAGTGTGTGCGTCCAGAACAGTGCGAGGCTCAAGGGCACAGGGAGAAGTTTTATCCAATATAAACTCAATCAATGAACGGAGGTTTAAAGGCTTTTGCTGCCAAGTTGAAGCCCTGACCCATTGGGATCCAAGCAGTGAGAGACCACATCTCAGTCCAGCTTCATGCGCACGAGAGCTGGGAGATATGGCCACAAGCTGATATAAGCAGTATATGAGAAGGAAATGTATGATTATTTTTTTTAATTTGTGGTATTATTATTATTATTTTCATTAAGTAGCGGCCATTTAATACAACTAAAGGACATTACATACACTGGGTCTGCAATGTGCAATATTCTCAACCAAGAGGAATAGTGGAGCGGAGCTGAGATGTACTGCATGTAAATAAGTGTGTTTTCCCCCGTCTCTACTCCCCAGACAGAAAACATTTAAAATAGTCATTTCATATTTAGTTCAATAGTGTAATTTGTCACCATCACATTTAATACAACGTTAGATCAATATTCTCAACGACGAGGAAAAGAAAGAGAGACCGGGCCATAATTAAGCTGAGGAGAGAAGAGAGAGGAAAGAAGGAGATGGGAGAGGAGAAGAGAAAAAAGGCAAAAAGAGGAGAGAGAGGGAGGAGAAAGGAGACAAATTAAAGAGGAGAGGAGAGAGAGCAGAGAGGAGTTTAGGTGACAAATAGACCTCAGAACTTGTTACCACTAGCTCTGTATCATCAATAGAGAATAGTAAATGTACGTTTTATAAATGACAAAAGTGACATGGAAAGCAGGTTCCACACGTACAAACACGAGATTAACCCAGTGGTGGAAAATTCCTCAGATTGAAATAACACCAGGAATTTGATCTGGAGCCAGAGCCCAGCGCTGTCGGCCACGGAAACAACAAGTGAAAACAAAGAATAATCCTTCTACCAGTGGCCGGACCACTTCAAAGCCCAACAGGAGAATCTGAGAGAGACCGGGCTGTGATTAAGCTGCTATTAAGCCTGCCTTATGATGGGGGAAGGAGAGGAGGGAGAGGAGAGGGAGGAGAGAGCGGAGACGGAGGGAGGGAGAGGAGAGAAAGAGGAGAGAAAGAGGGGAGAGAGGAGACAGGGCAATCAGAAAGGTGGGACTGTGATTAAGCTGGTATTAAGCCTACCTTATGATGGGTAGGGAGGGAGGAGAGAGGGGGAAAGAGAGAAGAGGGGGGGAGGAGAGTGAGGAGAGAGGAGAATCAGAGATAGGTGGGACTGTGATTCCACTGCAAATAAGTCTTACCCTATGATGGGGGTATAAAAGAGAGGGGGGTTTAAAAGGAGGAGAGGGGGGAAAGAAAGAGGAGGGAGGGGAAAGAGAGCAGAAAGATTGCAACACTGTTTTGCTTGAATTAGCCCCAAATCTTTAGAAGGGCCAGGTTCGGGTCAAGTGAGTAATATTATTATGAGCCTAAAGCAGTGAGTCGCCATGGGAACAGGTACAAAAAATCATGTCATGACCTTTTAATAAAAAATAATAACAAATGTTCCCATGTTTCTATGACTGTATGAATAACTATTATGCATGTTTTTGTCCATTAACAATGATAATGAGATACACGTGAGAAGGGTAAAGTATGAAGGGTAAATAAAGCTTTCTGCCCGTAACTCTCTCTGCTGCCACCAGAGGGAGGAGGAAACACAGGCTGGTGATATTAAAGAACAGCATTTCAACAGAGAAATTAGCTAAACTAATTTAGGGGCAATACTTTTCTTTTAAAAGGCAGAATGTGATTTACAGTACAATAGTACAATGGCAACATTGGCATCATACAGGACAGAAGGGAGAGAGGGCAGAGAGGGAGGAGAGGGCAGAGAGAGAAGCGGAGAGAGAGCAGAGAGGAAAGAGAGAAGAAAGAGAGAAGAGAGAGAGGCGAGAGAGGGAGGGTTTAATGCTCTCACCTTCTTGCGCAGTTTCTGAATGCGATTGATGACCTCACGAGCCACTCCCTCATCCACCATCGACTGGTCCGGGGTCACGTCCAGAAGAACCAGGACCTGAGGAAGACCAGAGACTATGTGAGACCAGAAACCAGGACATGATGAAGACCAGTCTTCTTAGAAACAGCGAAGTGAACTTTAACCAAAGACACAGAACACACCCAGCAGACAGAGGCCTTTTCACCAAGTCAGAGCTGCAAGATTATTTTTCTATTAGTACAGTAGGTTGTGTGACATCGCAACACTTGGAATCTCGGAAGACTTCCATCCTTCCATTCATTAATTTTCTTCTGCTTTATCCATTCCCAGGTTGAGGCAGTCTGAGCTGAGACCTCTCAGCACACATCTTCCTCCAGCACATCCGAGATAATCCTGAGGCGTTCCCAGGCCAGCTGAGTGACCCTCCAGCGTGTCCTGGGTCTTTCCCCGGTCTCCTCCCGGTGGGACATGCACCTCCCCAGGGAGGCGTACAGGAGGCCTCCCAAACAGATGCCAGAGCCAGTAGACTAGCTAGTTCGCTGGCCACATCAACTGACTCAACAGACATGTTTTTTGTCCACCTACCTGTATATCCATGTCTTAGTTTATTCATAATTCTAATGAAGTACAGTACAGACCAAAAGTTTGGACACACTTTCTCATTCAATGAGTTTCCTTTCTTTTCATGACTATTGACTGTAGATTCACACCCAGACTGAGGCTATATCCACACGAAGACAAAACGCTTATAATTTCAGAAACTTTTTCTGTAAACACGGAGTTAGCTCAGTAAATGTGTGCGTCCATATGAATGTAGTCAATACGCCTGAAAACGCTGTGAAACTATGCCAGACCTGTTGGTGGCGCTGTGACGCAATGACGGGATCAAGCCCAAACTTCCGTGGGCATGCGCAGAATTTTGTAAACAGACAACATGGCGAGTGGGCGAGCTGGTACTACATTAGTATGGACGGACGATGAGGTCGAACTGTTGCTTCGGGTCACACTGGATTACAAAACCAACAAGCTACATTGTTGTTGTCATTATTTTCTGAGTGCGGCGCATGCGTGCTTTAACAAGAGGCGGGGCGATGACGCAAGCGTCTCAGATACATTGCGGAGAGGCAGTAACCACGGAGCGGCATATACGGAGTTTTGAAATCTTTCCACTCTGGGACCTAGTTTCAAAAATGTTCGTTTACACCCCCCCAAAACGCCAGCCTCGTATGGACGATACACTGGATTGATAAAGTATTTTTGCGTTTAGGCCTGAGCTTGACTTCGTGTGGACAGGGCCTGAGTAAGAGCTATTTGACCAAGGAGGAGAGTGGTGGGGTGCTGAGCCATATGACCCGACCTCAACAGTCACCGGACCTGAACCCAATCCAGATGGTTTTGGAGTGAGCTGGACCACAGAGTGAAGGCAAAAGGGCCAACAAGAACTAAGCATCTCTGTGAACTCCTTCAAGACTGTCGGAAGACCATTTCAGGTCACGACCTCTTGAAGCTCATCAAGAGAATGCCAAGAGTGTGTGAAGCAGTAATCAGAGCAAAAGGTGCTACTTTGAAGAACCTAGAATATAAGACATATTTTCAGTTGTTTCAAACAATTTTAAGTACGTACATAATTCCACATGAGATAATTCATAGTTTGTGTGACTCTATAATTTTCATAGTCATGAAAATAAAAAAACTTTTTGAATGAGAAGGTGTGTCCAAACATTTGGTCTATAAAATTAAATATATAAACTGTCTATAGTGTAATCATTTTCTCATAAAAAGGTGTCAAAGTGATGACATTCTAGTGGGAGAACAGGCTTTCAGACAAAAGAATAATTATTATTGATCATTATTGAACCAGGAACGTCCCCCACAGACCTCAAGAGAGTCCTAGCCCCCGAGAGAGGGGAGCTAATATACATGTGTTTAGTGATCAGGGAAACCGGAGCACATGGAGGAAACCTGAACACAACCTATTGCTTCGTTGCAAGAGGAAATGGATGTTTTTTCCATACACAGTCCTGTGAAAGCAAAATGACAACAGCATCTTCATAGAAACATCTTTTGCACGTAAGAAAGAGCCCCAAAGAAGCAGCTGATATGAAAAGGTTGTAAATGCTCAAATGTTGTCTTAAAACAGGATTTTCCAGTGGGAGTAATGTGTAATCAGTGGATTCCCAAAATTAATAATGAAAACAAAAAATACTAAAACTGGTCGCATTGGCAAATCCTGTTTTAATAAGGCCGACAGAATGCACTAAAGCCAAAAGAGTTGAAGCTATTTCAAGCAATTATAAACTTACTTTTTGTGCTTTCTTACTAGCACTGATTGACTGAGGGAGGGTGGTCCACTCTTTTTCTGTTTCCTGTCTGAAAAGGCTGATCTAAAGATGTGACATAGAGGCCAAACACAGTACATATAAACACTAGGGATATTAGCAAAATGTTTCAGAAGCGAGGAACTCGTGTAGGCTTTGGTGGTTTGAAAACGCCCAGTTTCCACCAGCACAACTCTACTCCACCTGGTTGCGTTTCCATTATGCTTTAGAAGCTGGTACCATATCCTGATACCTACCCACAACAAAACAGTACCTGGGGAAGTTCCCTGGAAACCATGTCTTCTAGCAGCATTCTGGACAATCAGAACACTTGGTACCAGCTCAGCCTGGATAGAACCAGGGTCAAGAGACTAAGGACCTGGTGCTGGTTAAGCAGGAACTAGACTAGACTAGAGTAAGGTAGACTAGAGTAATATATAGACTCAGCGTTAATATGTGATACATTAAATACCCTTTCAGAGCAGTTTTGCTTTTACTATACTCCAGGTAAGAACCTCTTCATGGTGAATTTAGAGAGGTTAAAAAATAAATCCATAATTTAAAAAAACAAAACAAAAAACAATTCAAATAAAAAACAATTGAGATTTAATTTTCTGGTTTTAATCCTAAACCACAGTCTGTTCGGCATCTACAAAACCCGGCTTTGGTTTTTAAATGGCCAGGCTTTATACAACGGCTCCTGTGTTTTTTTGATGTATATTAACCAAACTAACCAACTAACCAAAGACAAACAGGATGCCCAAAAATTTCAGTAACCAGACTAGTCCAGGGGCCGACAACCCAGACGTATGTAAATCCAATAGAGCAGAGAGAGACCAGAGAGAGAGACAAGAAAGAAAGACCAGAAAGTGAGAGCAGAGAGAGACAGAGAAACGCCAGCTTGCATTAGCGACCGTCTTAGCAACACGTCTGCCGTGAAGCTAACGCTGTCAGAACAAATCCCCATAAAAGGAAATTGGCTCCAGCTAGCTTATGTTCAAAACGGCTTCTTTCGCATTAAGGCCAACACCATGGTGATGTCACACATAGTCCACTGATATGGTCAGTCAGAGAGACCAGAGAGAGACCATAGAGAGACCAGAAGAGAGAGAGCAGAGAGAGCAGAGGGGGAGAGGACAGAGAGTAGAGAGAGAGCAGAGAGGGAGAGGAAGGAGACCAGAGAGAGACCAGAAGAGAGGGAGCAGAGAGAGTAGAGGGGGAGAGGACAGAGAGTAGAGAGAGAGCAGAGAGGGAGAGGACGGAGACCAGAGAGAGAGCAGAGAGGGAGAGGACGGAGACCAGAGAGAGAGCAGAGGGAGAGCAGAGGGAGAGCAGAGAGAGACCAGAGAGAGACCAGAGAGAGACCAGAGAGAGACCAGAGAGAGACCAGAGAGGGAGAGGAGAGAGAGACCAGAGAGAGACCAGAGAGAGACCAGAGAGGGAGAGCAGAGAGCTTTTACATCATAATACATTTATAGCAACAGTGCAGGTCGCTAACGGGGCAGTCACGGCTGAGTGGGAGGACTGGATCTGCATTTCAATACCGTGGACTATTGATCCAAACAGAGAAACGCAAAAGAAATGTGTCTTTATGGGAAAATCAACTGCCTGCAATATTCATAACTATTTCTCTGTCGTCCATTTGACATTCATAACTTTATTTAGGTGAAGAGAACATAGTTGTACTTCGGTTGTACTGTACGACATGGACTCAAGTTAAAGACAGATTATGCAGTACTGTATGTTCCGCGACCACAAATGATATGTTCAGTAGTAAATACACGATAAAATAATAGAGCATAGTGTTAGCCTTAATATGGCATGAGACCAGAGACCAGTGTGAGACCAGAAAGAAACCAGAGAGAGATAAGAGAGAGAGCGAGCCAGAGAGAAAGGCTGGAGAGAAAGGCCAGAGAGGGACCAAAGAGAGAGAGAGACAAGAGACAGAAAGATATCAAAGAGACCAGTAAGAGAGAGACCAGAAAGAGACCAGAGATATGTCCCTCTAACTCACTGTAAAATTCACCGTCTGTTCTTATCCCTTCCTCACAGCATATTATGAAGTGTTATTGTGTTCTTTGTTCAGACCTGAGCGTCGGAGTGAGCCTCGTACTGAGCCGCTGATCCAGAACTCTGGTCAAACGTGTACATCAGCCGCAGGTCGTCCTCATGCAGCTCATGTCCATCCACCACGATGGATCCTGACCAGAGAGAACATCATGAGAGAGAGACAAGGGGTGAGGTTCAGAGAGAGAGAGAGAGAGCGAGAGAGCGAGAGAGAGAGAGAGAGAGAGAGAGATCATAGGGAAATCAGAGAAAAAAACATGAGATAGATCAGTGAGGGAAAGAGACCAGAGAGAGAGTGAGACCAGATGGAGAGAGACCAATGAGAGACGGAGACCAGAGAGAAGGAGATTGGAGAGCAGCTCGGAGTAGAGCCGCTGCTCCTCCATGTGGAGAGGAGCCAGTTGAGGAGGCTCCTCAGGAGGAGACCAGGGGAAGACCCAGGACACGCTGGTACGACACCCTCTCCTTTCCCCCCTTCTCTAAACTTTCACTCTCTCTCTCCTCCCTTTTCTTTCTGGAAGTTAAAAGCTGTGCTCTGCTTTGTCCTGGGCAGATGAACATCTTTCAGGTTTAACCAACATCTCAAATACTAATTTTATACAAGTCTTATGCAAGTCTTTCATGACTTAAAATAAATCACACAAATCACACTTATTCATCATAACAGTCACCAATTACTTTAAGCTTAAAATTGTAGTATAAAAACAACAACGATTGTAGCTCCTGGTCAACAACTTAAGTGTTTTTTATGCAGATCCAAACCAAACGAGGGCCAGCCTGCATTGACTTCCCTGGAGTTGCATGTTTTCCAAAGCTCCAATTGATTTTGGCTCCACATCGAGTCAGTTTCCTTCCACACTTTTAATTAAACTTCTTGGCTTCTGTCACATTTTGCTGCCAATCCAACACGGACTCAGCCACGAGCCAAACCACATAACGTTTCTCTCAGTTATTTTTCAAGGTTGTTTCCGGTCACATTTTCATATAAAACTTTGTGGGGCAAATACCAACAAGCAGTAAACACAGAGAAGGCAGGTGTAGTCTGCGCTGGAGGCAACAATTACCTCCATCTGTGCTGCTCTCACAACACCACGACTGAGGCCTTCTGCTGCTCACGACGCAGGGAGAGCGAAGACGCACAGTCCTCAAGTCCTGAATTGTTGATTGTAAATGGGCTTCCTCCTCAAGGTTTCTCGTGTTATTTTTTCAATTCAAAGCATTTGTGAACAGCCCAAAATCACAATAGTCACAGAGGACATTGATCTGTTGTTCAATGTCTGAATTTTCTGATATTTGTTATGTTAGTTTTGAAATATGGGAGCCTAGCCTTGACCAATCTTCAAGGTAATTGTGAATGACATGCTGAATGCATCTGTTAAATATTTTTGACACTCTGCTTTATGTCTCTGTGCCCTCTCTATGCCCTCTCTGTGCCCTCTCTGTGCCCTCTCTGTGCCCTCTCTGTGCCCCCTCTGTGCCCCCTCTGTGCCCTCTGTGCCCTCTCTCTCTCCGTCTGTCCGTCTTTCTGCTATTTCTCTCCATCTGGTCTCCCTCTAGTCCTTTGTGCCCATGCAACAATATGCAGTAGTTATTTTTAACATCACTAAAACCCAATGCATTTCTCAGCAGATTCCTGGTTTAAATCTGTATTATACATTATACATTCTCCTCGTCGCTGAGTACATTTCCATTAGTCCCATTCTCTCCAGGATTTCCTTACATCCCTTTCCCTCCTTGCTCTTCCCTCTGACTTCAAACACACAAATAATTGAAAATGTTTTGTTCCCACAGCCGCGTTGACCTGTGCTGGTCCCTCTGGGCTGAGGGTTCCCCAGGGCAGCGGTAATTGGACAGAAAGGATCCTGGTTTGCCTTTGATCGCACCAGAGCAACGGCAGGCTAAAGCGGGATGGATGGGCCCAGCATTTTCATATGATAACGTTTATTTAGACTTAATGGCAGTGGTGTTACTCTTTAGTAAGGGAATGACTTCAGTAGACCAGAGAGAGAACGAGAGAGACGAGAGAGAGAGACCAGAGAGTGAGAGAGCGGAGAGAGAGAGAGACAGAGACCGGAGAGATTACTGGGTTTCTGTAGTGTCCATTAATTTAACAACAAATGCATTCAGCATGTTATTCACAATTCCTGTGAATTTTGGCTGAAGCTGAGGTCCCTAACTTTCAAAACTGACCTGAGAAAATGTCTTTCAAATCCATGTCAACTTTGTCCAACACGGATTTTAAAACTGGACTGGATTTATGCTCATCGGTAACATTAGCTGTGGAAGGACGCATTTCTCCTCTCTCTGGTTTTTCTCTCTCTCTGGTCTCTTTCTCTCTTTCGGGTTTCTCACTTCAGCAGTCGTGAGTTCCGTTGGTTACAAACATTTACTTCAAGATTTTCACTTATTTTGGGTCATTTCTAGAACACATCACCCCTGTTTTTGTCAGTACCTGTTTTCTGGAAGGCCTCGAGCTGTTCGTTGCTCAGGCTCTTGATGGAGGTGGTGATGGACTTGAACGCAGCCTTCAACCTCTTCCCCAGAACCATATGATCCGGCTCGGCCCTCAGGCGTATCCCGTACCGGTCCTTGTCCGTGGAAAGGGTCAACTGACGCACATTCAGCTCCTGCAGAGAGAGGGAACTGTCAGTGGAAAGAGCCAGAATAAAGCTGTTGCACAACGTATAATGTATGATAAAAATGAGGAAGAGTTAAAAATATACTTCTACAGTTTTGGTTCATTTGTCTTAAGTTTGAGACATCTCAATGGTTTTAATAGAAGGGAACATATCACCCCTGTGTTAGCTTCCCTCCACTGGCTGTCTGTGCGTTTTAGAATTGAAAATTCACCAACTCCTTTACTAACTCACACTCTCCCTCTCACCTCCAGTCAGTGTAATCTCACGGCCTCCCCCCCTCACCCCTCCTCACCTCCAGGATGTACTTCTGCAGAGACTGGATGTCCTTCAGAGCATCTGGGTCCTGGTGAATGACCACCACCTCCTTCAGCGGATACTGACCAAACACAAAACATTATTACCTCTGTACGAGAGAGAGATGAAAGTACAGACTCTTGCATCGCTCAGGTCGTCACGATATTGCGACTGCATCACTCAGGTAGACGTCACGATACCGTAGGGGTGCCCCGATCAGATTTCAAAATTGGGCCAATATTTCATAGTTTTTTACTGCAGTTGTCATGAAGTAACTCTTTGCGGTAACTGCACATGCTATGATTTAAAACTCGGTTGCAGTAACATTTTAGAGTGGTGTTCATGTGGCTACTAGGTAAGAAATATCAAAAGTGTGGTAGTATTTCTCATTAGAAAACGAAGACAGCACAAAAGCAACAAACAAAGTATGCAACATGTTGATTGGGAGAGGTGGGAGCAACAGAGCTACATTCAACACGACAAATTTGATTCTGTATTTGAGGACTAAACGTGAAACAATGTATACGGCATAGTATTTTGTTATTGTGAATTGGGGTTACACTACATTACAATCCGGTAGTGATGGGCAGATGAAGCCCCGTGACACACCAAGGCTTTCTTTGTCAGAGTGTTTCGAATGTGTCCGAGTCTCTGAGCAAGCTCAAACTAGGTTGTAACGATGACGTCTAATGGACAAATGAAATCATTGCACCCTTCCTTTGATTGGTCTTGAAGCCGCACCTACTTTTCCATTCATGCGCCAGAGGAGAGAATATTAACAGCAGCAGTAGAACGCTCCATTGATGTGAACATAATTTCAAAACATTCTACCGATCATCATTTCTTGATAACGGACCTCTCAAACCAATAATGACCACTGCCCTTTGGCAACGGGACACATTCGCAGAAGATCACATTTGCAGAGGATCTGATAATGGATTTAGGTTGAGTTTATCACTCACCGCTGATATTCCGAATTTTTTGCTCAGTTTTCATGCAGTTCCAGAGAGTTTTCCAAACTCTTGCCACGTCATATTATATACAGTGCTTTGCGAAAGTATTCGGCCCCATTGAACCTTTCAACATTTCGCCACATTTCAGTCTTCAAACATAAAGATATAAAAAAAATATTTTTTGTCATGAATCAACAACAAGTGGGACACAATTGTGAAGTGGAACGAAATTTATTGGATAATTTAAACTTTTTTAACAAATAAAAAACTGAAAAGTGGGGCGTGCAATATTATTCGGCCCCTTTACTTTCAGTGCAGCAAACTCACTCCAGAAGTTCAGTGAGGATCTTTGAATGATCCAATGTTGTCCTAAATGACTGATGATGATAAATAGAATGCACCTGTGTGTAATCAAGTCTCCGTATAAATGCACCTGCTCTTTGATAGTCTCAGGGTTCTGTTTAAAGCGCAGAGAGAACCATGAAGACAAAGGAACACACCAGGCAGGTCCGAGATACTAATGTGGAGAAGTTTAAAGCCGGATTTGGATACAAAAAGATTTCCCAAGCTTTAAACATCTCAAGGAGCACTGTGCAAGCAATTCTATTGAAATGGAAGGAGTATCAGACCACTGCAAATCTACCAAGACCCGGCCGTCCCTCCAAACTTTCATCTCAAACAAGGAGAAAACTGATCAGAGATGCAGTCAAGAGGCCCATGATAACTCTGGATGAACTGCAGATAACTACAGCTGAGGTGGGAGAGTCTGTCCATAGGACAACAATCAGTCGTGCACTGCACAAATCTGGCCTTTTTGGAAGAGTGCCATTTCTCAAAGATATCCATAAAAAGTCTCGTTTAAAGTTTGCCACAAGCCACCTGGGAGACACACCAAACATGTGGAAGAAGGTGCACTGGTCAGATGAAACCAAAATCAAACTTTGTGGCCACAATGCAAAACGATATGTTTGGCGTAAAAGCAACACAGCTCATCACCCTGAACACACCATCCCCACCTCAGCTGTAGTTATCTGCAGTGAGTTTGCTGCACTGAAAGTAAAGGGGCCGAATAATATTGCACGCCCCACTTTTTAGTTTTTTATTTGTAAAAAAAGTTTAAATTATCCAACAAATTTCATTCCACTTCACGATTGTGTCCCACTTGTTGTTGATTCATGACAAAATTTTTTATATCTTTATGTTTGAAGCCTGAAATGTGGCGAAATGTTGAAAGGTTCAAGGGGGCCGAATACTTTCGCAAGGCACTGTATATATATATATATATATATATATATATATATTTTTTTTTTTTTTTTTTTGTATACAAGCACAAGCGCAATGGTTGACAGCCCTTGGCATCACTTGATAGGTTAAAGTGGACGGAATAGTGGATTTTGAGCTATAGCTAAGATTAGGGAATTATAACCCGTAATATTATAACAAATAAAAATACTTATTTTGTATTAAATTGACCTCCTGGTCTGAAATGTTGATACAATTCAAAAAATTTGTGATTTGTTTAGAGTTCCAGACTATCACTTTAAGTGCACAGAAAACACCGCACCACTTTTAATTCGCTTTGGGGGGATCAGACAAAAAAAACAACAACTGATTTTGAAACCTTTAGTAGTTCTCTTCTAATATAAAATGGTATTAAAACTCTATTTCTAAATAAATCAAACCCGGCATAAGGTCTTTAAACATGATTACAGTTCTATTTGGCTTTCATACACATGCCCAGAGTATTTTTTTCATTGAATCGGTCAACCTTTAATTCAAATCGTAACGTGGCACAATCCGTGACGTCAAAAGTGTCACTGATTGACAGCGGGGAGAAACTGAACCAGCGAATCAGCGCCGTCTATGCAGCCCATGATGCAGCCTCTCTCCGAGTCCAGCGCGTGGTCCATAGACAGTAAATAAGCGTATGTACTTTTTGTGTTAGCTTCATGTGACTTGGAGAAAAAAATTTTATGGTGTAAATATGTGACCAGAGTATTTGGCCCAAATGGGGGTCGACTGGGATCGGCCTTGTATTCGCGAGTTTGAAATCTGCGACAAAACTCAGATATTTTTTTGAGAGACACCACCAAAGACAGTTCCAGAACTACAGTACATTGGAACGGGACCCACTCAAAGCTGATCTGGAAAATTGGTGTTAATTTCCAACGTAAAAGACGCTAACGGAGCCTCTGTGAGTACAGTGATGCTAACAGGAGCCTCTGTGAGTACAGTGATGATAACGCTCCGTATGTCACTGTGGACTAAATAATTAGGGTCTGATTTTGGATCGAGGACATAGGGCTCTATTTGACGGGTTGCCATTGTTGGAAAAAGTTGATTCTCAGGTGTGAAATGACTAACAGCAAAAGTTGTACAGATAGCTCATGTTGACCTCGGCACTTTGCGTGATGCTACGTCACCGCTATAATTTGACAAGTTTTGAGTGTTGTATGGTGTATCACCCAAATTTTTATCACACGTGTGCATACAATAAACTATGAAAAGAAAAGCAAAATATGGCACCTTTTAAGTCAAAATCACCAACGATATACAACACTCTGCCTCCTCACTACCTTTATTGAGTTTACTATTGGGACATTCCTAACAAGTGTATAAGTGTTATCGTTTTATAACGGCAAAAAAACAGCTCCTAAGCTGTAAACTACATTTTATACAGTCAGATGGATCTCTTACAATGGATCTCGCTAAACGAGATGCAGAACAAGATGCATCTCGACCCCCTTCTCCCTCAGAGATCTCACCTTCACCGGGAGCGTTTTCCGGTCTCGGATCACTCGTCCCAGTTCAATCACCGACTGCATCTGCAAGACTGCACTCTCAATACGTTTGTCGATGACACCCTCCCTGAAAACAAAACAATTACAATCAAACTGAGTATAGTCTTTAGTGAAAAGAGGCCGTGTGTGATATTGTCCTTCTAAATTACATTTAATATGTGTCCTCTACAACAGGTTACATGTTCACGTATGTGTCCTCACACATAGGACAGACAGGATGTCCATAACATTCATGTTTACGCCTTTGAAGCAGAATATCCAATCAGAGCGCAGGATGAGTCTCATTTGTTAGGGGAAATAGAAATAGATTGCACAGCTCCAAGTCGTCGTCTTCTACAAACCCCAAAGTCACTGTGTAAAGCAATTCTCACAGATGTGTGAGTTACTCCTGGCTCAGGCTCTCACTCCCCCACACCGTCCCAGATCTGGCAACAATCTGCATTCGGCCCACGGATAACTGTCCATCTCACAAGTTTTCAGACGCTTTTGTAAATGTTGGAGATTGACCAATGTTTTTTCTGTATCTGATGTGAGACGAGCAGGGTGGTGCTGATGCAAACCCCTGATGTGAGGCTCTCCAGGTAGATCTGAACCTGCGGGTTGGTGCTAATGCTAAACACTGATTTACACCAAGCATTTTCGGCGTGTTAATGTAGACATGCAGGTTACACGTCTACGTAAAGAATAACTTTTCTCTCTCTCTCTCTAAAGTCCCCTTCTCTTTTTGGTCTCCCTGGTCAGTCTCCCTGGTCCCTTTCTCTGTCTCTCTCTCTAGTCCCTCTCCCTCTAGTCTCACCACCCTCTCTCTTCCTCCTCTCTCTGTCCTCTCATCATAAAATATCTGTTTAATGATCATGTTTGGTTACTCCTACCTGACTTGTGGGATCATGAGGTAGTGGATGCTGCTGTTGTCCTTCTCTTCCACCGACTCTGGGTCGATGAGGTGACGCAGGTTCTGGTACATCATCTCTGTGATGAAGGGAGTGAAAGGAGCCTACAAGGGAAACACAGAGTCAGGCTTCTAAGCTATAGACCAGAGAGAGATCAGAGACAGAGCAGAGAGGAGAGAGAGACCAGAGATAGGGCTGGGCGATAAAATGCTAACAATATTTATTGCTATAGACACGTGTTCGAAACCAATAGAAAATTGGGTCGATAGAATGTTCGATAGTTAAACTTCACTCCGTTTGAAAAAACAAGAAGAGAACACAGGAAATAAATCCGAGTCACAAGCGTGCGGCTTTCTGGGGGATGCAGGCAGAGGCTTCTCGGCCTATCACGGCCGAGCATAAACCGCAAAACTTTCTGGGAAATGCAAAAAAAACAAAAAAACAACTGCACCATTCCGTGGATCTAAAGTTGTCATGTTTCAATGCCATGTCAATGCACGTCCGTGCAAGGAATAGCATGTGCGGCGCGGTAGAGGCAGTGAGTACAGGGACCCGATGCATTCTGCAAAAGCAAAAGATTAACTTTTTCCTGTGGAACCATGTGTGCCGCACGGAGCCGTCACGGGGACACAAGACACTCGAGAACAGCCAAAACAGGCGCTAAACCAGGACTAAACCAGGATTAAACCAGAACTAACAATAGGGGACATATGCATCCAGCCTGAGTTGACATTCCCCCGTGACTGTAAACAAGGGCTGCTACTGAGTTTTAGTCGACACAGCAAATGTCTTTATTTAGGTTTTTTTCTTAAAGAAAAAACTATCAATAATTATCTATATCAACCGAAATTAATCACTTACGTTGTGATATAGTTTTCAGCCATATCGCCCAGCCCTGACCAGAGAGTTAGTTAATATGTGCTGACAGAGCTTTGGAACTGCAGGCCTTGGTATATATAAGAGCTTCTCACATTGGAAAAACTGTGCAACACAGTGTGCAGAGTACCCCAGTGTGCACCACCACAGCTGCACACCGGGAGGGTTACCGCAGCTACATATTGACAAATACATATCCTGTCCACTAGAATAATGCACCAAAGGTCATAGGTCAAAGATGGAGAGGAGAGCACTGTACTTTTTTTTAATACAGCTGCTAATTCATTTGCACAACCCGCAGGAAGTGCTCATTGATCTGGGATCTGCCAACCAGGAACGTGGAGTTAGAAATTACATCTACCACCAATGCATTATTCATGAGCATAAAAGCACTTTGTTATTTATAATACTATAGGCACCTTTAGGAGAAGCAAACAAGACCATAGTTGAGATAAGATAAGATAATTTGCAGGACAGAAGAGCATAGAGAGAGAGACCAGAGACGGGGAAGGCAGAGAGAAAGAGACCAGAAACCACAGAGAGAGAAGAGAACAGAGAGGGACCATACCCAAAAGAGAGCACAGAGGGACCAGAGAGAGACCAGAGAGAGAGACCAGAAAGATAACTGCGAGAGAGCCTTGAGGGAGAGACCAGAGTGAGACCAGAGAGACAGGCCAGAGAGACAGGCCAGAGAGACAGGCCAGAGAGACAGGCCAGAGAGACAGATCAGAGAGACAGATCAGAGAGACAGACCAGAAACACACCAGAGACAGAGACCAGAGCGAGAAATAGAAACAAAACTAAAACAATTAAACCATTGACAATGCAAAGTGGTGTCTCTGCTCAGAGCTCCCCACACTGCAGCTTTGGAACAGCAGGCCTCGGAGTCTTCTCACACCAGCGCTGGCCAGGCTCCCTCAGAAACACACTTGTTATTTTGGTGTGAAGAGAGTGACTCACCATGAGGCGGCACATGGAGAAGAGCACGCTGAAGAGGGTCTCCAGCGCCCACACGCACTCCTGCGATCCACTCTCGCCCTGAAACACAGAGAGAGACATCAGAGAGGAGACTGGAGCGAGCGACACCTGCTTTATAGTGATGGTCTGTGGAGGCTTTACAAATACAAAAGGGAATAACATGGAAATATATACCTTTTTTTAACAGTGCTTTGATTGCGAGTACCATTACAAAGCAGGATAATATAAAGTATGCTAAAAAAAAGGACAAGACCAGAAAGAGAAAGACCAGAGAGAGAGACCAGAGACAAAGACCAGAGAAATAGAGACCAGGGATAGAGACCACAAGAGGGAGACCAGAAGAGGGAGACCAGATATAGAAGCGATTGAGACCAGAGAAAGAGAGACCAGGGATAGAGACTAGGGAGAACAGAGAGAGACACATGGGAGCGCGAGACCGGAGACCGGAGACAGGAGACAGGAGACAGGAGACCAGAGACCAGAGACAGAGACCGGAGACCGGAGACAGGAGACCAGAGACAGAGACCAGAGACAGAAACCAGAGACAGAAACCAGAGACAGAAACCAGAGACAGAGACAAGAGATAGAGACCACTTCCTTGCATCGGCTCTGCTGCTCACATAAGCAGCTGATAGAGCTGTGTTCCCAGGAGATACTATAGCACAATATAAATTCATACAATTACTGCAGCATTTAAAGAAGTAGCAACAACTAGCAGATTATAGTCCAGTGATTACGATACATATCTGTTCTGCTGCTCTCACCTTCAGACGGCGGCGGTTGGTCCGGACGTACCAGTTGGTGAGCATGTCCACAAACTTCACCAGCCGTGGGACCACAGTGTAGAGGCGATACGCTGGAACACACAAACGCACAACACAACACACTGTTCAAACATTCACCCTTTAGGCACAAGACAGCAGAAATCCTACTCCATCACTTTCTGTTACCATAGTTAACAAGGACTTCTCACAACAGTGCTGGCCAGTCTCCCTCAGAAAAACACTTGTTGGCAAGACCAGCGAGAGGCCAGAGCGAGGTCATAGAAGACCAGAGTCCAGAGAGTCAAGCAAGACGAGAGAACTACGGCAGTGTGAGACGCCAGAGTGAGACGCCAGAGTGAGACGCCAGAGTGAGACGCCAGTGTGAGACGCCAGTGTGAGACGCCAGAGTGAGACGCCTCTCTGCTCTCTCTGCTCTCTGAACTAAACAGTCTGAAGAGTTTGTCCTCACTCACTGTCCATCTCTGCTCTGAAGAACTGGATCAGGGACTGTGTGAAAGACTGGATCCATTTGTCCATGATGTTGTCGCTCTGTTTCGCTGTGTTTTCGTTGTAGAGAAACTGGACGTTCTCTTCCTGAAAGCAAAACCAGAAACAGCAGCCTCAATGATAGAGTCACACTAAACATGTAGCTCTCAGTTTCCACTTTAACGATAACGCTGCAAGCTTTAAATACTTCTCAATTCAGTCACATTAATTAGAAGACATCGTTCTTCCAAAAAGTCTTTTTGAAACATTAGTAAAAAGAGTATTATCGTAAGGCTTTTCCATAAACATTATCCAACGGTTTTCTTTCCATTTCTGTAATAACCATCAGGATTCTTGCCAAGATATTAAGCAGCAATTAATACATTAGTAAACTAGAGAGAGATAGAGACCAGAGAGGGAGACCAAAGATGGAGAACTGAAATAGAGACCAGAGATAGACAATTTTCTCACGTAGTAAAAAAAAAAGCACAGCCAGAATGTGTTTTTCTTTAATATTAGGCCTAAATGTAAAACGTTTCCAAATCCAATCCAATTACATCGCCTTGCAAAAGTAATCGGCCCCCTTCAACCTTTCAACATTTTGCCACATTTCAGGCTTCAAACATAAATATGTAAAATTTAAATTTTTTGTCATGAATCAACAACAAGTGGGACACAATCGTCAAGTGGAACAAAATTTATTGGATAATTGAAACTTTTTTAACAAATAAAAAACTGAAAAGTGGGGCGTGCAATATTATTCGGCCCCTTTACTTTCAGTGCAGCAAACTCACTCCAGAAGTTCAGTGAGGATCTTTGAATGATCCAATGTTGTCCTAAATGACTGATGATGATAAATAGAATGCACCTGTGTGTAATCAAGTCTCCGTATAAATGCACCTGCTCTTTGATAGTCTCAGGGTTCTGTTTAAAGCGCAGAGAGAACCATGAAGACAAAGGAACACACCAGGCAGGTCCGAGATACTGTTGTGGAGAAGTTTAAAGCCGGATTTGGATACAAAAAGATTTCCCAAGCTTTAAACATCTCAAGGAGCACTGTGCAAGCAATTATATAGAAATGGAAGGAGTATCAGACCACTGTAAATCTACCAAGACCCGGCCGTCCCTCCAAACTTTCATCTCAAACAAGGAGAAAACTGATCAGAGATGCAGCCAAGAGGCCCATGATAACTCTGGATGAACTGCAGATAACTACAGCTGAGGTGGGAGAGTCTGTCCATAGGACAACAATCAGTCGTGCACTGCACAAATTTGGCCTTTATGGAAGAGTGGCAAGAAGAAAGCCATTTCTCAAAGATTTCCATAAAAAGTCTTGTTTAAAGTTTGCCACAAGCCACCTGGGAGACACACCAAACATGTGGAAGAAGGTGCACTGGTCAGATTAAAACAAAATCGAACTTTTAGGCCACAATGCAAAACGATATGTTTGGCGTAAAAGCAACACAGCTCATCACCCTGAACACACCATCCCCACCTCAGCTGTAGTTATCTGCAGTTCATCCAGAGCGATCATGGGCCTCTTGGCTCTATCTCTGATCAGTCATCTCCTTGTTTGAGATGAAAGTTTGGAGGGACGGCCGGGTCTTGGTAGATTTGCAGTGGTCTGATAAGTGGTCCTTCCATTTCAACATAATTGCTTGCACAGTGCTCCTTGAGATGTTTAAAGCTTGGGAGATCTTTTTGTATCCAAATCCGGCTTTAAACTTCTCCACAACAGTATCTCGGACCTGCCTGGTGTGTTCCTTTGTCTTCATGGTTCTCTCTGCGCTTTAAACAGAACCCTGAGACTATCAAAGAGCAGGTGCATTTATACGGAGACTGGATTACACACAGGTGCATTCTATTTATCATCATCAGTCATTTAGGACAACATTGGATCATTCAAAGATCCTCACTGAACTTCTGGAGTGAGTTTGCTGCACTGAAAGTAAAGGGGCCGAATAATATTGCACGCCCCACTTTTTAGTTTTTTATTTGTTAAAAAAGTTTAAATTATTCAATAAATTTTGTTTCACTTGACAATTGTGTCCCACTTGTTGAATACTTTCGCAAGGCACTGTATTATTAGTACCAGAGGGCGTATATGAGGGGTGGACTGACCGCGTGTGACATCACCAGTGTTAGCCTTAATGCAAAAGAGGTCCATTAAGTGAGCTGGAGCCAGTTTCGCCATTTGTTACGGCGGTGTTATGCCGCGTTTAGACCGGACATGCGTTGCGTCGGCTTTCAATGCAAAGTCAATGGTGACGCGCGTTCGAGCGTTAAAACGCACGAACACATACTACTGTTACTGTATATAAAGTCCGTGGAAGGTCTCAGAACACAGACACGCTTCAAAAGCTGCATTATTGGAGAAGATCTGTACACAAGAAGCCGCTAGCTAAACTCTGTTAGCATCAGAGCCCGCCAGCTACTTCCGGCACAAGCCAGGACCTCTGGTCTGAAGACCCCTGCGTTTGAAAACTAGAGAACGTGCGTTTCAGCTTTGCGGGTCTGAAAGCACCATTAGGCTCGTGCTGTAACAGGGTAGATGTGTTGCTAAGATGGTTGCTAAAGCAAGCTGGAGTTTCCCCCACGAATGAAGGCATCGGATTGGTCAATGCCTATATGGCAAATATCTAGATTTACAAAGACAACATCACAATACAAACACCAGGATGGCAGAGTTTACCTTTTCTGGTATCCGGAGAGCGAAAGATAAGATAAGATGATACAAGATAGACTTTATTGATCTCACACAGGAGTTTGTTTCTCACTTCTCCATGAGCACTACCATAGTGGGCTACATTGAGCTAGCGGATTAGCATTGTCCATCTGTATATAAGGCTATGATTGGTTCAAAGAATGCAAGAAAATCTAAGCTACATTCAAGGTCTTATTAAGAAACCCAAGATCAATAATTCTCAATCTTGATTCTATGATATGCTCAGCTCTACAAGAAAAGACATAAGTTGATGAACAGAGAGACTTCTAAGAGCTGCTCATTGTAATGTATTTGCAGGTTGGAGTTCCCTCTCCTGCTTTGCCTTGTGTCACGTACGTTCTGCAGCCGCTGGACGTTCTGGACCAGGAAGCGGTAAGCGTTGTACCAGGGCAGGAACACATCCTTCAGAATGTCTCTCACTCCCTCCTCCTTGAAGCGCAGGTTCTCTGCTCTCACCACCGGAGAGTTGATCAGGTACAGTCTGCAGATTAAGTGTAAAAAGTTCATTTTCTCTCCTAATGTTTAAGGCTTAGAAGGTTCTTTTAATAAGACTGATTCAGTTTATTTGCCATTTGCATTAAAATGGTATCTGGTCTCCCCCACTCTGGTCTCCCCCACTCTGGTCTCCCCCACTCTGGTCTCCCTTTTTAGCACCTGGAAGAAACCTACGCAGACACACAGATGATAACATGCAAACTTTGCATAGAAAAGCCTTGAGGTGGAATCAAACCCAGTACCTTCTTGCTGTGTCAGGGTATACTTAATGATAAGGTATATTTTCTGTATTGTCTGTATGCATGTACAGTGCCTTGCGAAAGTATTCGGCCCCCTTGAACCTTTCAACATTTCGCCACATTTCAGGCTTCAAACATAAAGATTTAAAATTAAAAAAAATTGTCATGAATCAACAACAAGTGCGATACAATCGTGAAGTGGAACGAAATTTATTGGATAATTTAAACTTTTTCAACAAATAAAAAACTGAAAAGTGGGGCGTGCAATATTATTCGGCCCCTTTACTTTCAGTGCAGTAAACTCAGTCCAGAAGTTCAGTGAGGATCTTTGAATGATCCAATGTTGTCCTAAATGACTGATGATGATAAATAGAATGCACCTGTGTGTAATCAAGTCTCCGTATAAATGCACCTGCTCTTTGATAGTCTCAGGGTTCTGTTTAAAGCGCAGAGAGAACCATGAAGACAAAGGAACACACCAGGCAGGTCCGAGATACTGTTGTGGAGAAGTTTAAAGCCGGATTTGGATACAAAAAGATTTCCCAAGCTTTAAACATCTCAAGGAGCACTGTGCAAGCAATTCTATTGAAATGGAAGGAGTATCAGACCACTGCAAATCTACCAAGACCCGGCCGTCCCTCCAAACTTTCATCTCAAACAAAGAGAAGACTGATCAGAGATGCAGCCAAGAGGCCCATGATCGCTCTGGATGAACTGCAGATAACTACAGCTGAGGTGGGGATGGTGTGTTCAGGGTGATGAGCTGTGTTGCTTTTACGCCAAACATATCGTTTTGCATTGTGGCCAAAAAGTTCGATTTTGGTTTCATCTGACCAGAGCACCTTCTTCCACATGTTTGGTGTGTCTCCCAGGTGGCTTGTGGCAAACCTTAAGAGACTTTTATTGGATATCTTTGAGAAATGGCCACTCTTCCATAAAGGCCAGATTTGTGCAGTGCACGACTGATTGTTGTCCTATGGACAGACTCTCCCACCTCAGCTGTAGTTATCTGCAGTTCATCCAGAGCGATCATGGGCCTCTTGATTGCATCTCTGATCAGTCTTCTCTTTGTTTGAGATGAAAGTTTGGAGGGACGGCCGGGTCTTGGTAGATTTGCAGTGGTCTGATACTCCTTCCATTTCAATAGAATTGCTTGCACAGTGCTCCTTGAGATGTTTAAAGCTTGGGAAATCTTTTTGTATCCAAATCCGGCTTTAAACTTCTCCACAACAGTATCTCGGACCTGCCTGGTGTGTTCCTTTGTCTTCATGGTTCTCTCTGCGCTTTAAACAGAACCCTGAGACTATCAAAGAGCAGGTGCATTTATACGGAGACTTGATTACACACAGGTGCATTCTATTTATCATCATCAGTCATTTAGGACAACATTGGATCATTCAAAGATCCTCACTGAACTTCTGGAGTGAGTTTGCTGCGCTGAAAGTAAAGGGGCCGAATAATATTGCACGCCCCACTTTTCAGTTGTTTATTTGTTAAAAAAGTTTAAATTATCCAATAAATTTCGTTCCACTTCACGATTGTGTCCCACTTGTTGTTGATTCATGACAAAAAATTATATTTTCATATCTTTATGTCTGAAGCCTGAAATGTGGAAAAATGTTGAAAGGTTCAAGGGGGCCGATTACTTTCGCAAGTCACTGTATCTTGTAGCTATGTTTAGTGTCTTTATGTCCTCTTTCATATCTATTTGGTTTGGGCCTAGTGAAGCAACTACTAGATTTTTGTTATAAGAATTGGAATCTCAAGTAAGCAGGTATAGAAAGGCGAAAAATGTGCGGGACATTTCTTTGTATCTTTAACAGTGAAAAACTTTCATATGCAACCTTGAGTTTTGGCAGCAGATTGTGTTTGCCTGACTTTGTCAGTCCAACGATCTACAAGACCGGGAAGAGAGAGACCAGAGAGAGAGAGGGAGAGGTAGAAAGACCAAAGAGAGAGCGAGAGAGAGCGAGAGAGAGCGTGAGAGAGAGAAACGAGAGAGAGAGAAAGACCAGCAAAAGAACGAGTGGAGAAAAAGCGTTTTGGCAGCAGACAATTTGCCTGACTTTGTGAAAACTTTGACTTCTCAGTCCAATGAATCCTACTCTTTGCATAAAACATGTGTAAGGTGTAAGAGAAATGCAGTCAACATTCTCTTCTAAAACAGAGACTTGAACCAATGTGCAAATATGTATCTTAATTTTGCTTTTTCCTTCAAATCTGTTTAGTATGTCTGGTGTGAACTGGTCGAAAAAAGATGTATTTCATGTTTCTGCTTTTGAACAAGTCCCTCCATAAGACAAAGTACATCTGTGACATGTTAGTGCCATACAATTCCAGGTATTTGTGTATCTCCCTAAATCACAATAGCAGCCGTCTGAGGACTTCACAAAGTTGTCAATTCCTCAACAACAGATGAGTGAATCAAAGAGAACACAGGAATTACACTAATAACAAAACGTATGAACCATTGGTCCATAGGGAGCAGGGTGACCACTGTCCAGAAATGTGAATAAATGCTGATCCAGGACTGAGGCTGTAAGATCCAGGACTGAGGCTGTGTGGTGAACTGGCCTCCTCCATCCATATAGAGAATAGGTTGTGCATTAACCAATACCAGGCAAAGTCTTTGGTAGCAATTCAGTTTTCTAACTTTTCAAAGCAGTGAAGCCGTCGAGGCAAAAACAGTCCACAATAAAGCAAAAAGTTGGATATAATATTTCAGTCCACAACCTCTTCCCCTGAAGTGTACAGTAGATTGGGCAGATGGCTTGGCTGCTTTGTGCTTTATTCATTGGGCATATGGTGCTGTTCTAACACCAGAGGGCAAAGACCACTATATAATATTAACTCCCTGTTTCAAAAATTCTCCCAGTCTCACAAACTACCACGCTCAGGAATCAGTAGAAATAGTATTAACTGAAACACACAAGTAGTGGTAGCTTTACTGTTGGTATTGGCAATAGTTTTAGAAGGATCCTGGTTCTAGAAAGTAATACACAGCTTCTTATGGCTAAGTAATAGGTAGATTTAAAGCATAAATAAGTGAGCAATTGACTATACAAGGGTCTCTGGTTAAGGGCAGGGTTGATGTGTTCTAAAAAAAAGCCACAATAAGTGAAATCCTTAAAGTAGCAGCTCTGAGTTTTAAGGTTGTAAACTGCTCACACACACTTTATACACTTTTCTAACCAGAGAGAGGGAGAACAGAGAGAGAGACCAGAGCTCAAAGAGAGGGGCCAGAGAGAGGGAAATGAGAGGGAGAAAGAGAGAGAGAGCCCAGATAGAGAAAAGACCAGAGAGAGAAACCAGAGAAAAAGATCAAAGAGACTCTAGGGAGACACCCAAGGGAGAGAAACCCAAGAGAGAGACCAGAGAGACCCAAGAGAAAGACCAGAAAAAGAGACCAGAGAGACACCAAAGAGAGGCAGGAGAGAGAAACCAGAGAAAGACTTTAAATAAACGTAACTGGTTATATTAGTGGTTGAACCAAACCCATACTATTCCATTTTAGTCTATATTTAGCGCTGAAACCAAACATTTTGAACAGCTATTCTTTACCTTTTCATAAAATGTGGTATTTGCACACTCTGAGACAGAGTTCTTCTCTAATGTGAATCTTGCCGTTAGTTGTGGGGGCAGTTTTGAGAAATGTCTTGACACAAACACGGCGTGAGGAAGTCGGTCGGCCTTGGATCTTTCTCGCTCAGTTGGCCTCACGCTCACTAACCTGAGGGCATCGGCGCCATAGCTGTGCACGATGAGGCTGGGGTCCGGGTAGTTCTTCTTGCGTTTGCTCATCTTCTGTCCATCACTGCAGAGAGAGGAAGCGTTTAAGTGAAGTCCTTCCAGGTCAGCAGGCTGGTGAGCAGTGAGCTGCACGGAGCCCCCAGGCTAAAGGGGAGATGCTAATGCTGCGCTGATGGAAGCTACACAGGCTAACACTAACACACAACAGCACGACAAGTCGGGCTTCCAGTCCATGCAGCTTGTTTGGACTAATCTGAATGGACTGGCTGCAAAACGTACACTGTTGAGTCACAGCATTAAATAATGCACAATTAAGTCATTCTTAATATCACTACAGGGTGTTTTAACAGCTACATCAAAACTTTAACAGTTTTTTACATTGGAAGAATAAAAAAATACAGTGTCTAAAGCAGAATTTGCGATTTGACTACTGTAAAAGCTGCTCACTGGTCTTTCCAAACGGGCTGAAAAACAGCTGCAGTACATTCAAAATGCTGTAGCTCCAGCCCTGTTAGGAACAAGAAAGTACCAGCACATTAGTCCTGGTCTCAGGTCTCTGCACTGGCTTCCTGTGGCTCAGAGAATGGACTCTCCAGCATCTCTGTGGCCACCAACGTGCATCTGAGACATGATTGTGCCATATGAACTAACTCGGACTCTGGGGAGCACAGGGACTGGCCTCCTGCTGGTGCCCAGAGTCAGGACTAAACATAGGGAGACTGCGTTTCAGTTGTATACAGATAAGTCTGGAAGTGTCTTCCGGCAAATGTGAGACAGGCTTCTACTCTGACAATGTTCAAATCCAGGTTAAAAACAGTTTGATTTCGCTACAACGACAGAAGGATTCTATCTTCACTCTTTTCAATTCACTGTGATTATCTTATTGTATCTTCTTGTTTAGATCGGCACTTTTTCATTGCCTTATGTATGAACTGTGCTATACTAATAAACTTGCCTGGCCTATTTCAACAGACATGAACAGCAGTTAAGTACCATTAGGTGTGTAGCTTTTTGCAGCTGTACTGTACCTGGCGAGGACCAGACCGTTCACAATGACGTTCTTGAATGGAGGTTTTCCAAACAGAGCAGTGGACAGGACCAGGAGGGTGTAAAACCTGAAGAAAAGATGTATTAGAGTCTTAGGAAAGGCAAAGGAAAGAGAGAGGGACCAGAGAGAGAGACCAGAGAGAGAGACCAGAGAGAGGGACCAGAGAGAGAGACCAGAGAGAGGGACCAGAGAGAGAGACCAGAGAGAGAGACCAGAGAGAGGGACCAGAGAGAGGGACCAGAGAGAGGGACCAGAGAGAGGGACCAGAGAGAGAGACCAGAGAGAGAGACCAAAGAAAGAGACCGAAGAAAGAGTCCGGAGAAAGAGACCAATGAGAGAGACCGGGGAGAGAGACCGCAGAGAGCGGGACCAGAGAGAGGGACCAGACAGAGGGACCAGACAGAGGGACCAGACAGAGTTACCAGACAGAGGGACCAGACAGAGGGACCAGACAGAGGGACCAGACAGAGGGACCAGACAGAGGGACCAGACAGAGGGACCAGACAGAGGGACCAGAGAGAGGGACCAGAGAGAGGGACCAGAGAGAGGGACCAGAGAGAGGGACCAGAGAGAGGGACCAGAGAGAAAGACCAGAAGGGGGGACCAGAGAGAGAAAGAGATAGAGAGAGGGACCAGAGAGTGTCTCTGGACCCAGGAGTCAAGTCACTTCCAAAACAGTGTTTCAAGAAAAACATAAAATCAAGTTTTTATTGTATTCACAGCACCACAAACCCAGATTATTGTTGGTTTGACATTTCTCCCTCATGATTTTACTCTCACCATCCTCTGGTTTGATCGATGCCCTCTGCGATGAAGTCTGCGGGAAACGAGTCTTCGAACTCCCTCTTGTTTTCAAAGGGGTAATGCGCCTGGGCGTATGGCATGCTCCCGGACTCGAACCAGCAGTCGAAGACCTCAGCCACTCTCCGCAAGACACCTTTACCACGGCGGGACGGGATCGTGAGGCTGTCGATGCTGCAGGGGAATGTAACAGGGACCTTTTGTTTAATTCAATTCAATATGTTTGTGTACTGTGTGGATTAAGTCAATGTTTATTTATGTAGAACAATTCACAAAAGCTCGCACAAATCACAGACATGGACCTGCTTGTGTCAGCTTTACGAATAATCTATGTTAGAACACGTCCACAAAATTAAAGCATACTTTGGACGCAACGTCAGCAGAAATTGGTCATCACTTTTTGACCAAGCGACTAACATCAATCTACCTCTTAATCTTGGTTAAAGATCATGAAAAACTAACAATGATCTTGATGAAATATAAAATATATCTGGTATTAATCCGGGTTTCTCACCTTTCTCTGTGCAAATCTGTGACTTTGACACCGGTGAGCTCCTCCAGTTCAGCCATGGACCCTACACACACAACCTGCACACAAATCATCCTCATTTTAAAAATATTAATAATATATTCTGCTGTATGCAATGTGCGGACAGGTTGGGAACGTGCATCTGTAATAAGGGATAACATTGCCACAAACGTGTTCTTGCCGCCTGTACATGTGAAGATTGTGGCTCTTACTCCGACCAGTTAGCCACTGTTGCACTAGATTAAAGCATTTTCACCCTAACCCGTCATAAGCGTCTGTCAATAAGACCAAAACTTGCAAGAAGAGCAGGACTTTCTGACCACTGGGAATGCTGACTTGTTTACATATCTGACAACAGAATTGACATGACATATTTCTATTGGTTAATCAGTAAAACTGGAGACAGTAAAAGAGGAGACTACAGGGACACACAAACGGATGCTATAAAAACTCTGTACAAGGGGGAAATAGGCAAAGATGCTGGTCACACATTGCTGGTCCACGCATTTAAAACTTCCCTCTACCCAGTCTCCACTCTGGTATTACTTTCATCATTGATTCTTTGCCTCTGCTACTCTGTCCGTCTTATAGGTCAGACACTTAGGAGCATTTTGTGTCAACTCAGGACCATGACTTCACTGAACATTCAAATTCAATACAGCAGAAAAGAAACTACATAAAATATCAAAAGTAATGAAGAGTTAAAAGCTCAAGTTAAAAGTGCAAATAGGCCATCTTCAAAAAATAATGTTATTAGGCCTGCTATAAAGGCCTCCACACTTGATGTCTGACCACAAACTCTAAGATTCTTACATCCCGGCAGACTCTGAGCTTCCTGTTCAAGAGGTTCTTTATGAATCCAGACTCTCAACAGAACTCAACAAATAACCTATGACTCTTCTGGTGCCTGGAAAAGCCATGTTCCAGCTTCTTCCCTCTGGCAGAGGATATTGTTCGGTGAGGTGCAGGACATCTCGATATGCCAACAGCTTCTTTCCACAAGCTGTTATCAGTCTGAACAAAGCACTTTAATGATCTTGCACTTGTTATTGAAGCTGTTTACGTTGATTATTCTGTTAGTGCTAGCTTGTTTTATGTCAATGTCAATTTTATTTGTATAGCACATATACAAAAACACCAGCTGCTCAAAGTGCTTCACAAGGCATGAAAGATAAAAATAATAAAACAACATGAAATACACACACATACATGTAAAAAATAAAATGGTAAAAACTCAATTGGTGTTAAAAGCCAAGGCGTAAAAAGGTGGCTTTAAACTAGACTTAAAAACTTTCAATGAAGGAGCTGCTCTAATGGACAGAGGTAGACTATTCCACAGTTTGGGGGCACGAGACCGAGAGACCAGAGATAACAGCTCCGACAGATACACAGGGGCCAAACCATTCAAACATTTAAAAACAAGCATCAGAATCTTAAAAATCAAGCCTGAAAGTAACAGGGAGCCAGTGAAGTGAGGCCAGCATGTATGTATTGGTCTGGTGCACACTGGGGGGGCTTTTGCACTTGTTTTTCAATGTTGTCTCTGGAATGAAGAGAGACAGTAGAAGGAGGTCGGGTAGAGGCTTTGTCAGTGTGTGTACAGTAGCCCACCTCCTCTCCACCACAAACCCCACACAGAAGCACCATCAATGCCGAACGAGTCACGCGGCTAAATGAAGCCATCTCCTGCCCATAAAATTAGCTCAATGTCACAGATTTAGGCCGACTTTAGAAAAACCTGGAGCTAACTTTACCTCCAAACTCACCGCTGCGTCCGCTCCTCTGAGGTCTAACCTGTAAGAGCTGCTCCACTTACGCCAGAGACAAAATGGCCCAGATTCAACTCAATTTACTTCAATTTAATTCTATTTACGGGTTTTCAGAGTTATATACAGAACGTGCCGTCGATGAGCTTATGTTAGAAGAAGCAATAGTGAGTCGACGTGAGAAAGTCATTGTCAAATACATTGTAGGGGGCTGGGTAAGGTCTCTCTCTGGTAAATCTTTTCCATAAAGACAGTCTCTCACCCTCTCTGGTCTCTCACCCTCTCTGGTCTCTCACCCTCTCTGGTCTCTCACCCTCTCTGGTCTCTCACCCTCTCTGGTCTCTCACCCTCTCTGGTCTCTGTCTCGTTGGTCTGTCAAAAGTTAGCATAAATTTTGCTTCAACCTTTTCTTAAACTTATTTTTCTCCTCTCCCTACATTATGAGACAGGTGACAGCTACATTAGCGTCAGTAGCTGTTATAGTGCGGTCTGTTTGGGCGTGCGAGAGCCCACAGAGGAGAGAGAGGCATTGGGGACAGGGCTCTGGAAACAGGATCCTATTTGAAGAAGGAGGTCACCGACTGTCCCTCCCTCAGCCTCAGAGCGTGACTCTGAAACACTCAAACAAACCCATTTCTGACGACTCTGAGGCAAAGGGTTATTGCACGGGGAAGATAACAGACAAAAAAACGTCCAGTTTAATTTATGAGAAAAGTTATACCTGCAGAAACTGATTGTAACGCCATTTGCATTGAATGCAAGGTATCCAACTATACTTCATTACTTTATGTTGTTTGTCTTGTAAAATGACCAGAGCGAGAGAGCGAGAGCGAGAGAGAGACACTAGAGTGAAAATCCAGAGAGAGATACCAGAAAGAAAGAGTTCATCTTTTGTAGACTGGCCTCCTCCATCTACACCTGCGGACTGCCCCGCCCGACCCGACTGGGAGTGCTTCAGTCCTGCACCGGACCTGTCCACGTTCAGCGGCCACTGGTCCACGTCCTGTAACTAGCTTAGTTCCTGGATCATTAGCCTGTCCGTCCGGAGGAGCAGATCCCTTTCTCAAATGGGTCTCCCTCCCTGTGGGTTTCCCTAGTTCTCCCCAAGGTTTCTCACTTTTTCCCACTGGGTTTTTTAAGAGTTTTTCCTTGTCGATGCAGGAGGGTCTTGTTGGACAGTTAGTGTCCAACAGAAAGGATTGGTGATGATCAGGACACTTTAGCATTCTACAACATGTATGGACATTTTCTTCTGTGTGTGCTTTATATTCTTCATGTGTTTTAACTGTTGATTCTCTGACCTGTGTTGGTGATTTCAATGGTTTTGTTAAGTCCTCTGAGATGACTTCTGTTGTGACCTAGGGCTATACAAGAATAAATTGTATTGTATTGTATTGTAGATTGAAATAAAAGTACCCCAGCTTAATCGGCTTCAAAAGTAAGCATTTGATACTTTAAATTCACATTTTCTTCTACAAGCAGCAGGCGGGGGATATGGCCTCACTTTGTTCTTCTGACTTTAATGAACGATGGAAGCAGTTGGTTCTAGTTCAGACTTGGCCGTGATGGCTCTGCTCCGTCACCATCTCTCTAACGCAGCCGTCTCTATCCGCGACACAAGCTTTACTCAACCGTCAAAAGCAGGTCAGAGAGGAGAGGGAGAGGAGCGGATGGGAGAGAGGAGAGAGAGGAGAAGGGTCCATGCATCATCTTTCGCCTACTAAATCTTCACTCTCTGGCCTCACTCTCTCTGGCCTCACTCTCAGCTTTACAAAAAAAAAAAAAGTTGCCTTGTGTCTTACAATTTTCTTTAAGATAGAGGTGGTGAGCTTTGTATACAGGACAAAGGAAGGTTTCTCACCCATCATCTGTACTTCTTAGCAAGTTTTCCCGACGTTTCGTCCTCAACCTAGCGGACTTCTTCAGGGAATGAATTCTCGGACCGCGCGTTGGAGATTTATAACCTATGGGTGTGGTAAGCCACACCCTAATCCTGATACTAACTCGTAAACAATCTAAGGTCTGCTTGATGTAGAAGGGAGCAGGTCTAACGACCCTGCTGAGGCTAACGACCCTAACTCCTTAGCATGTCACAGACCTATTATCTGCTGGGATGCTCAAGTGGAGTGCAGGTCTCACCCCTCCTAACTCATTAGCATGTCACTGACCTTGTCCCAAGTTAGGGCGTTGTTTTTAGGATGTCGTCATAGATGCGAGGCAAAACAAATCTTAACCCTCCTCCTCTGTTAAGAGAAGGTTTTTGTTTCCTCACAAAAATGGCTTCTTTCACCCCTCTCTCAAACCAATTCTTCTCCCGAGCCAGAATTTTAACCTCTGTGTCATCCACCGTGTGGTTGGAGGCCTTGAGGTGGAGATGAACAGCCGACTGTGGCCCACTAGAGTTTTCTCTACGATGTTGGTAAAGTCGTTTCTGTAGAGTTTGTTTGGTTTCTCCAATATAGTGGTCAGTGCACTCCTCTTCACTACATTTAATTGAATACACCACATTGCTCTGTTTGTGTCTGGGTGTTTTGTCTTTGGGATGCACTAATTTCTGTCTTAACGTGTTGAAAGGTTTGAAATACACAGGGATTTTGTGTTGCCTAAAGATTCTTTGTAGTTTCTCTGAAACTCCCGCCACATACGGTAAGGACACCCCTCTCCTCCTACTTTCTTCTGTCTGTTGGACTGTGTCTCTGGCCTTTCTCGTCCTTTGGGCTTTAGTAAAAGACCACTTGGGGTAGCCACATCTGGAAAGTGCTCTCTGAACATGTGTGGTTTCTCTGTTCTTTCCTTCCGAGCTTGTGGGGACCTGGTGGGCTCGGTGTTGAAGCGTTCTAATGACCCCGAGTTTGTGTTGTAGCGGATGGTTTGAATCAAAGGCCAAGTACTGGTCAGTGTGAGTGGACTTTCTGAAGACCTCAGTCTCTAATTGTCCGTTCTCCAGTATGATGACCTTACAATCTAGAAAGGCGAGTTCACTCTCCTTAGCATCTAGCCGTTTTCAAACCATCCAGAGAGCGGTGGTGCCACCTGCTGGCTTGATAAAATATTGCTCTCAAGCTAATCCCCATTAATATTAGATATAATAGACATCTGGGAACATGAAAATAGCGGAAAACGCAATTGACGTATTAATACGCCAATAGTCCAGAAGTGCTGTTATCTCTCAATAACTTCCCATCTGTGTCGTCTTCAACACTCTTAACTGTGTCAATGTGAGATTAAGGTTATTATTTGTCCCACAGTGGGGCGATCTCTGACCTCCTCAAAGTCCTCGCTGACCCACAGGGGGATGGGAGTACCCCAGTATCGGTTCCTGGACACGGCCCAGTCCCGAGCGTCGCGCAGCCAGTTCCCAAAACGCTTTTCTCGCACAAACTCTGGAACCCTGCAAGAGGAAAGACGTGGAAAATGATTATTAAAACGGTTTAACGCGGGCGACAAAAGCAAATGGCAAGGACTGGATTTGGGATTTGTGATAAAATAACCCACAATAAGTGAAATACTTGGTAGCAGCTGTATGTTTTAAGGCTGTAAAACTCCTCACACACACTTTATAATTTTTTCTTCGTGGACACACAACAGCTGAGAGAGACCATCAATTCTTTAGTTAGGATTACTGGTTTGTTTTATAACAGTGGTGCTGACAGGTAATTTTTCCACTGCATTAAATGATGAAGATGTAGATATGCTCCCTGTACCTGCGTTTTCTGATTTCCATCCTATTCATGAAAACAAAGCGTGGAGCCCATCATGAAGCACAGAAGGTCATCACTTCCTTCAAGGCAAAAGTCCCACACGTTTACACTCACAGAGCAGCGACCTATCACTGTGAGGTATTGCACCATCTCCCACACTTAGCACCGTGTAAATACCCTTTTCCTTTTATACAGGCTGTATACAGATGAAATGCTAATCTGCTGGCTCAATGAAGCCCAATAAGGAAGTGCTCATGGTGTAGTTTGAGAAGTGAGAGAAGTATTGACTTGCATGTAAACATTAACTCCTCTGAGTGATCGTTTGTGTTAGCCTCAGTCCTGGATCTACAGCCTTCTTGCCGATTTAGGAGGCTCTAAGAACTGATGATCCTGGATATATATTAACATTTCTGGACAGTGGGAATCCTGCTCCATATGACCCTAACCCTAACGCCTATGTGGAGACGCCTGCTGTTGTTTAGGGCGATACACAAATAAACTACAACAACTAAAACTACAACATTGAATTGCGTCACTCATTTTGGGCCTAAATACAATAAAATGTATTCTTGCATAGCCCTAGGTCACAACAGAAGTCATCTCAGAGGACTTAACAAAACCATTGAAATCACCAACACAGGTCAGAGAATCAACAGTTAAAACACATGAAAAAAATAACGCACACACAGAAGAAAATGTCCATACATGTTGAAGTTTAGTGCTCTGTGCGATCCTGGTGTTTGTATTGTGATATTGTCTTTGTAAATCGAGATATGAGCCATTTAAGAATTAACCAATTAGATGCCTTCTTTTGCAGGGAAAACTCCTGTTTGCCTTGGCAACAGTCTTAGCAATTAATTCTTAGCTTTAATCCACATTGAATAGAATGTGGTTTTAACAGAGATGGGACAGTCACATTTCCATTGTCTGATAAATATCTATCTGTACATACTCATTACTTTTGTAATAAACTTTACTCTTCATGCTTGTATCACCATATATAGTCTACTTAAAGAGATGGAGACAAGAGAGAGAGACCAGAGAGAGACAAGTGGGAGAGAGACCAGAGTACAAGAGAAGGGAGAGACCCTAACCCAGGTAAAGAGGGTACTCTTTACCTGGTCTCTCCCTTCTCTTGAGAGACTCCGTAGAGAGACAAGAAAAGAAAGCATAGAGACACCAAAGAGAGACACCAGAGATACCAGAAAAGCAGAGAGACCAGAAGGAAAGTAGAGAGACCAAAGAGAAACCAGAGAAAGAGAGAAAGATTGTTGGAGTTTAATTTGAAAATTAGCACCCCAATATAGTATATAGTCTCTAATGTGAAAGGGCAAAAATAACAAAACAATATTTCTTCTATGATCCATGTATAAAATTGGCTTCAGTTTGTTTCGCAGTTGTTGCTGGAGAAGCGGCTCGTATGCTGCGTGGTGATGGGGGTGTACACAGAGGCAATCCATCCACTAACCAATGAGTTCATCAATTCCCATTTGAAAGAGGCATTTCTATTTAGGCCTCTAATATATCAATTTAACGATTTATTTTACAGAGTTCAGCAGCAGCACCACCCCCACCGCCGCCCCCCTCTCCCCCACCATCCGCTCAAGGCTGAATCTGGATGAGAGCTGCACCACGTCTGGAAGAAAAAGCCATTTAGGAGGAGGAAGGTTTCTATTGTAGGTCACACAGGGGGGGTAGGGGGGGGAGTTTAGTGGCCTTAGAATCTAGTCATGTGCACTAAAAAAATCATTTACTTTAATTCAGGATTTTCTCCACAAGGATAAATACGGTCTATAAATATATAGAACTTACTTTGAATTTAGGACTTTGTTCTTTAAGAAGGACCCGTATGAACTATTATAATTGCAAAATACATCAGTTATATGTGTACCCAGATACAGTTGGTTTGAGAGGAGGGGAGGGAAGGAATGATGGAGAGTTATCGAGAGGAGGAAAGAAGAAAGAGAGGATCTAAGAGAGGAGGAAAGAGGATAATGGGAGAGAAGAGGAGAGGAAAGAGGAGATGAATCAGTAGAGAAGGAAAGAGGAGGATATAGAAGATGGGAGAACAGGAGGATTTAGGAGAAGAGAGAAGAGGGGGAGAGGAGGAGAAAAAAGGAGTAAAGCAGAGCAGAACTACACAAGTAAATTGACTTGTGAAAGACATTCCAATTTTCTGAGTTTCTATACATTTCTCATAATCAAAACTAAGTAACAGGGATGAAGACGATCAGGAGTGGGACGGACGATTCATGAATAACATGCTCTTTTAAAGCCCATGTCCGCCTGTGGAATCCAAACGCTAGTTCTCTGTGTGTTTCTGTGGATCTCACCTCTGCATAGCACCTCATTCATCTCCAGTTGACAGTCCCATTACCAGCGGCAGCAGCGGTGGTGCCACGAGGGCCACAGCACTTAGAGCCATCATACACACACTCTGCTCTGAAGCCGGGATTTTCAATTACAATTAACATCAGGCTAATGCTACCTGCTAACAGCTCTTAGAGTACGTTACGCTTTATGATCGGTCTTTGTGGAAAAACTGGTTTATCTCTCTCTCCCTTCGGTCTCTACCTTCAGTGACTCTGAAGGGAAGCTGTGATTTTCAATAAAGATTAGAAGGTAGCATTGACCTGATGTTAACGTCTTTTAGAGAAAGCAATGCTTTATTATCGGTCTTTGTTGAAAATAAAACATATTTGGTTTACTTCTGGACGGATAAATATTCAAATAACTAAGCAATGAGATCTCCACAGAGACTAGCAGGCAGCTGACCTCACTAAAAGTTGTACAAGTCAAACACAACATGTTGATATTGATTTTTGTGATGCAAGTTCATATAAGTTATAGGCAAATATAAGAAACATTATGGACTTGTACGAATATATACTGGTCACTTACTATTACGCCAATTCTTTTGTGTGCATTATATACAACATCATATCACCAAGTATAACCGGACATTTACCATTATTTAAAGTCAGGAAAAAAACTCACTCTCTCTCTCTGGTCTCTCTCCCTCTCTCTGGTCTCTCTCTCTCTGGTCTCTCTCTCTCTCTCTCTCTCTGGTCTCTCTCCCTCTCTCTGGTCTCTCTCTCTCTCTCTGGTCTCTCTCTCTCTGGTCTCTCTCTGGTCTCTCTCTGGTCTCTCTCTCTCTGGTCTCTCTCTCTCTGGTCTCTCTCTCTGGTCTCTCTCTCTGGTCTCTCTCTCTGGTCTCTCTCTCTCTCTCTCTCTGGTCTCTCTCTCTGGTCTCTCTCTCTCTGGTCTCTCTCCCTCTCTCTGGTCTCTCTCCCTCTCTCTGGTCTCTCTCCCTCTCTCTGGTCTCTCTCCCTCTCTCTGGTCTCTCTCCCTCTCTCTGGTCTCTCTCTCTGGTCTCTCTCTCTCTGGTCTCTCTCTCTCTGGTCTCTCTCTCTCTGGTCTCTCTCTCTCTGGTCTCTCTCTCTCTGGTCTCTCTCTCTCTCTCTCTGGTCTCTCTCTCTCTCTCTGGTCTCTCTCTCTCTCTGGTCTCTCTCTCTCTCTGGTCTCTCTCCCTCTCTCTGGTCTCTCTCCCTCTCTCTGGTCTCTCTCCCTCTCTCTGGTCTCCCTCTCTCTGGTCTCTCTCTCTCTGGTCTCTCTCTCTCTGGTCTCTCTCTCTCTGGTCTCTCTCTGGTCTCTCTCCCTCTCTCTGGTCTCTCTCCCTCTCTCTGGTCTCTCTCCCTCTCTCTGGTCTCTCTCCCTCTCTCTGGTCTCTCTCCCTCTCTCTGGTCTCTCTCCCTCTCTCTGGTCTCTCTCTCTCTGGTCTCTCTCTCTCTGGTCTCTCTCTCTCTGGTCTCTCTCTCTCTGGTCTCTCTCTCTCTGGTCTCTCTCTGGTCTCTCTCCCTCTCTCTGGTCTCTCTCCCTCTCTCTGGTCTCTCTCCCTCTCTCTGGTCTCTCTCCCTCTCTCTGGTCTCTCTCCCTCTCTCTGGTCTCTCTCCCTCTCTCTGGTCTCTCTCTCTCTGGTCTCTCTCTCTCTGGTCTCTCTCTCTCTGGTCTCTCTCTCTCTGGTCTCTCTCTCTCTGGTCTCTCTCTCTCTGGTCTCTCTCTCTCTGGTCTCTCTCTCTCTGGTCTCTCTCTCTGGTCTCTCTCTCTGGTCTCTCTCTCTGGTCTCTCTCTCTCTCTCTCTCTGGTCTCTCTCTCTCTGGTCTCTCTCTCTGGTCTCTCTCTCTCTGGTCTCTCTCCCTCTCTCTGGTCTCTCTCCCTCTCTCTGGTCTCTCTCCCTCTCTCTGGTCTCTCTCCCTCTCTCTGGTCTCTCTCCCTCTCTCTGGTCTCTCTCTCTGGTCTCTCTCTCTGGTCTCTCTCTCTCTGGTCTCTCTCTCTCTGGTCTCTCTCTCTCTGGTCTCTCTCTCTCTGGTCTCTCTCTCTCTGGTCTCTCTCTCTCTCTCTCTGGTCTCTCTCTCTCTCTCTCTGGTCTCTCTCTCTCTCTGGTCTCTCTCTCTCTCTGGTCTCTCTCCCTCTCTCTGGTCTCTCTCCCTCTCTCTGGTCTCTCTCCCTCTCTCTGGTCTCTCTCCCTCTCTCTGGTCTCTCTCCCTCTCTCTGGTCTCTCTCTCTGGTCTCTCTCTCTCTGGTCTCTCTCTCTCTGGTCTCTCTCTCTCTGGTCTCTCTCTCTCTGGTCTCTCTCTCTCTCTGGTCTCTCTCCCTCTCTCTGGTCTCTCTCCCTCTCTCTGGTCTCCCTCTCTCTGGTCTCTCTCTCTCTCTGGTCTCTCTCTCTCTGGTCTCTCTCTCTCTGGTCTCTCTCTCTCTGGTCTCTCTCTCTCTGGTCTCTCTCTCTCTGGTCTCTCTCTCTCTGGTCTCTCTCTCTCTGGTCTCTCTCTCTCTGGTCTCTCTCCCTCTCTCTGGTCTCTCTCCCTCTCTCTGGTCTCTCTCCCTCTCTCTGGTCTCTCTCCCTCTCTCTGGTCTCTCTCCCTCTCTCTGGTCTCTCTCTCTGGTCTCTCTCTCTGGTCTCTCTCTCTGGTCTCTCTCTCTCTGGTCTCTCTCTGGTCTCTCTCTCTCTGGTCTCTCTCTCTCTGGTCTCTCTCTCTCTGGTCTCTCTCTCTCTGGTCTCTCTCTCTCTGGTCTCTCTCTCTCTGGTCTCTCTCTCTCTGGTCTCTCTCTCTCTGGTCTCTCTCTCTCTGGTCTCTCTCTCTCTCTCTCTGGTCTCTCTCTCTCTCTCTGGTCTCTCTCTCTCTCTGGTCTCTCTCTCTCTCTGGTCTCTCTCTCTCTGGTCTCTCTCTCTCTGGTCTCTCTCTCTCTGGTCTCTCTCTCTCTGGTCTCTCTCTCTCTGGTCTCTCTCTCTCTGGTCTCTCTCTCTCTGGTCTCTCTCTCTCTGGTCTCTCTCTCTCTCTCTCTGGTCTCTCTCTCTCTCTCTCTGGTCTCTCTCTCTCTCTGGTCTCTGAGTTCAGGTGATTAGAAAAGTGTCTAAAGTGTACGTGAGGGGTTTTACAACCTTAAAACAGAGCTGCTACTTCAAGGAAATCACTTATTATGGCTTATGTTCAGAACCCCTGCAATAAAGCAAAGACATAAAGCAAAGAAAAAATATAAGCATCAGTGAAAAAATATAATTTTACCAATAGCATTTCCCGTTGTTGTCCAAGAGTTTGTCAACCATGTTCTCCACTCGCACAAACCAGCTCGGCACAGCCTTGTAGATAAGGGGCGTGTCTGACCTGGGAAACACAGTGTAAGTTGACATGATTGTTATTTTTTTGGCTACATTTTTAACACTTCGGTCAAATCCCAGTTATTGTTCATTTATCTCCTCATTCCTAGTGTTCTGTAACTGGTGATGCAACACTGAAATTTCCAAACTGTGGGACAAATAAAGGATTCCTCAATCTTATTGTCAGGACTCCGGGCCTCTTCCTCTTCAGATCAGATGTTTAGTTACCGTGGAGATAATGTGGTTGATGTGTGAGGGTCAGACACTGGCTCTGCATCGATTTTGAGCAGAAACCACAAACTTCTATTGACAAAGAGCAGGAAGGCTGGTCCTCTGGGAATGGGCATCTCAGTGACAGATGAGTATTTTACACCAAGTCTATCACCACTAATGCATTAGCTAGGTCCAATGGATGTTGGCTGGTTGTCATCCAGCCAACTTCAGCTCCGTCAAAATATGCATGCTGTACCAGGTTGGAAATATCTAGTATTTTTGTACATACTTTTTTTTTCATTGTGTCACAAAATGTTATATATGACTCTAATGAGAGATAGCAATCTTTCGCCATGGCCTAAGGTAGAGTAGAGTAGAGTAGAGTAGAGTAGAGTAGAGTAGAGTAGAGTAGAGTAGAGTAGAGTAGGGTAGAGTAGGGTAGAGTAGGGTAGGGTAGGGTAGAGTAGAGCAGAGGTGGGTCTTACCTCCAACAAAACGGGTAGCTGTGTTTGAAGGTGCTGGCATTGACAAGACGGCCCTGCTCCTTCAGCCACTTGGTGATATTTTTGTCTGCGTCCTACAAATACAAACAAACAAATTCAAAAGATACAATGCCAGACTATACACATAAATAAAATCACAGTAAATACATACAATTTCAATGGCACCATTCATATTCTATGCTGAGAACGAGAAAAAACCAGCCCAAAGACTAACACAGACTGTACTCAGGTGGACAATGCTAACCTGCTAGCTCCATGAAGCCCAATAGGGAAGTGTCCAGGGTTTGGCGGGTCCAACTCGCTATGGCTCCTATTGACTTACATATAAAAGTTAACTCCTCCAGCTCAGTAACTGTTTGTATCACATTCAATACTTTGGTCAATCTGGATCACAGAGCGCTCTAAACCACAGATGTTTTTTTGTCCACTCTAATGGCTTGATTCACAGGGGAAACTACAGCTCGTCTTTGCAACCGTCTTAGGAACATGTCACAGTAATTTATATTTAGCAATAAAACTGAAAGTAAGTAAGTTAGTAAGTAAGTTTTTATTTATATACCGCCTTTTCACTGCAGATCTGAGTCTCAAAGCGGTTTACAATTGTTAATTTTGGGCATTTGTCTCTCACTCCACACAGAGATGGGAGCGGGGCCAGTACAGGAGGCGCATGCTAGAACTATTGGACATATTTTTAGTGGTAGGGGAAACCGGAGCACCCGGAGGAAACCTACGCAGACACGGGGAGAACATGCAAACTCCACTCAGAAAGGCCCTGGTCCGGCCGGGATTTGAACCCAGGACCTTCTTGCTGAGAGACGAGAGTGCTATCCACTCAGCCACCGTGCCGCCCTAAAAAAATCTGCTCATCCGACTGATCTCACTTTGAATAATGGACAATGAAATATAATGGATTTGTTAGAACTGCTAAATCTCAATTACACTAAATTAAAGACCTTATGCCGGGGTTTTTTTTTTTTTAAATTGTGGATATCAAAATTGCATGACAATGTCGATCTGAAATAGATTCCGGCAAAAAAAATCCTATATTTTATAAAAAGAACGTGTTTTTCATGAATTTAAGTTGTCTATGCTCTAACCTGTGTGTGACGTCACAGCGGGTAACGCCCATGCATTGAAAACCATGGATCTATGCCACAGGAATGCCTTTTCTCTCTTCTCTCCACTGATGCCCAACACAATACTGCACTCTACAGGTGACAATTGCTCACTACACATAAATTGCCGTTGGGGATTTGAACCCCAGTATCTGGATTGGCAGTGCATCGACACAACCACTGGACTATCAACTAACTAACAACTTACAGCGTTGAAACGTACCCACTCTGACGTCACCAAGGGCTGTGAAGTTTTTTCGTCTCTAAGGGCGTTGCTATGGGGTTATTTCGATTTGGGGGGATCAGACAAAAAAAAACAACTGATTTTGCAACCTTTAGTAGTTCTCTTCTAATATAAAATGGTATTAAAACTGTATTTCTAAATAATTCAAACCCGGCATAAGGTCTTTAAGCAACAGTAAAAGCTTATTGGAGATGGAGAAAGCAGAGAGGCAGCCCAACTGCACATGCTCCAGTCCACAGATACTAATGCTATCGCTAACTCAATTATCATGAATTCATTTATACCGACAGAAAACAATCCAACTGAACCATGAGCTTATGCGACAAATCTATTAAGACTTTTTTGCATTGCTTGCATTTGTATCTGGCAATCTGACCGCTAATCAGCCTTGTGCATGTTATCACACATTATCTAATCCTCCTCAAACCCAGCCTGAAGAGCAATTCAACAAAAGACTCATAAATATTAATTCTCGACATGCCGCTAAGCAAACCGCGCTGACCTTTTGTAGGGGAGTTTCACACGTTCTCTCTCTGCACCCACGCTACATTTCTACAAAGCCTGATTCGTAATCATTAAAGCACCGAAGTGCACTTGTAATGTGGGGATGGAGGCTAAACTCCACCATCGTCATTAGCTGGTCCAACAAAACTGGGTGCAGGGAAAGTGAATGATGTGGAGATTCCTGTGAGATTACATATGTTGTGCTGAAGGCTAAACTACTGCAGAGATGGACCAGAGAGAGACCAGAGAAATATTTTACATTGGGTCTGCTCGCCTTTTTACAGATATGACATGGATCTTCGCCATGTGTTGAGAAGGTCACTATTAACCCTAAAGAAAGACCAGAGAGTCCAGAGAGAGAGAGTCCTGAGAGTGAGTCTAGAGAGGTAGACCAGAGAGAAAGACCAGATAGAGAGGAAACCCGAGCAGAAAGCTGGCCTTCTACTGGGGAACTGCTGCCCCTTTTAAGCCTTTATATTAAACTGTACATTTATTGCAAAGAAATGTCTAGAAAAGACTAAATTTGCCAGTGATTTATCAATGACATCAATGGCATTAAAAAACAATAAGTTAAATAAAGTCAAGAGCACTTACTGCGAAAATAACAGAAGGAGAGATAGATTCACTTCAGTCTTTATTATTAGGTAAAGATGCATCAGTGTCTAATAGAAATGAAGCTGATGGCAAACACAAAAGGTACAGCGGAAATATATCAAGCAAATTCTTAGATTCACAGATATTAACTGCATACACTGCAAAAAATACAAACAGTACTAAAACAGAAAAAATAGCTTGAAATTGAATTGATTTTTGTAGGCCTTGGATTTACCATCTGGACAGGCAAACATTTCTGTTTTTTAAGATATATTAGCCCATTTCCACCAGCCCTACTTTACTTACTTATTCTAGAAACCAGTATCTGGAGAAATTCCAGTGGGAACGCTAGAGAGTATGGTAGAGTATGGCTGGTGGAAATGGTGCTATAGAATCAAGATTGTGTTTTTTGCAGTATATGCCATGCAGAAAAGCCCAGACTTCAATAAAACTAAGCAAGATGGTCTATACAATTAAGCTACTCTTATCAGATATAACATTATGAGACCAAATTTTTATTTTGGAGGTCGACAGCCGTCATTAATGTTCTTTCCATGGACCTAGTTATGTATTCATTAGAATTTAACAACACAATTACATAGATGACATTATGTTCTACGGTTGTATACGTTTATTATTATTATATATTATTATTATTATTATTATTATTATTATTAGGTATGAACTCATGGAAAACAGTCATAATGTTAGGTCTAATGTAGGCATTTTTGCTTAAACCCAGAAAAAACTAATCTAATATGCAAAAGGCAGTACCAATTTCACCCTAGCTTTCCTAGGCGTCTTTGGCGATCCCCAATCTGCTTTCCTCCCCTTCCAGCAGCTTCCTGTAGGTGGCAATCTCTGCATCCAGCTTGAGCTTTATGTGCAGAAGTTCCTGGTAATCTTGGAGGTACTTGGTCATCTCCAGCTTTGTCTCACAGAGCTGAGTCTCCAGCTGGCTGATGACGCCCTCGAACCCGGAGACTTTATCCTGATGCGAGATCTCCATGTCTTCCAGTTGCTGCTCTAGAGCCGCGTTCCTTGCCCTCAAGCCGTCAATTTGGTTTTGCAGATCTGTGATTTGGTTCTGGAAAACGCTGATCTCTTCCTTCATCGACTTCATGTGGTCTTCGTGCTTGCCGGCATGCTCTTTGAGGGTGTCAAACTTGCTTTTGTACCACTTCTCAGCTTCTTGGACATTTCTCGCAGCAACCGATTCAATCTCTGCCCTCATGTTTCGCAGATACGCAGCTAGGTCAGGCCTCTCACCGCCCAGTTCAGCGGTAATCTTTGAATCCTCTATCTGCTTCATCAGATCAGCCACCTCCTCGTCGTGGAGCTTCTTCAGGAACTCAATCTCGGCCACCAACTGTTCGATGCTTTTCTCCAGCTCAGCCTTTTGGAGAGTGGCATTGTCGACGTCTTGCCTGAACTCTCTCAGAATCATTTCGGCCTCTTCCTTCAGAGCAAGTTCCTCTTCCAGCTTCAAGCGCCACACCTCAACTTCCTCCTCGAGATAGCCTCTTTCGATATCGGCCGCTCCTTTCTCATTGGTCAAAGCTTCAATCAAGTCGCGCACTTCTTTGAACTTCACTTCGTACTCTTCGGCAATGTTGGAAGGTCCGCCCTTGTAGCGGCCTTGCAGAGCTGCCAACTCGGCCTGCAGAGACGCATTCCTCGACTCCAACGCCTGCACCTTCTCGATGTACCCAGCAAACTTCACGTTGAGTTCCTGCATTTCCTCTTTCTCGTTGGCATGGTGTTGGTGAATTTCGGTGCCCAGCTCCACGGCAGTTCCTCGAAACCCGGATCGTCCGCGGCTATCGTAAGAAGATCCACGGCATCTCGAGGGGGAAGGACTTTGAACGCGTACCCTACTGTTTGAGCTGCTTACTTGCAAACTCTTTTGGGAATAGGATGCAGCCCTCATGTTGGAGACAGCACACAAAGCTAACGTCTTCCCGGATGTGTTTCGCTTGCTACGCAGGCTGCAACTGTTGCCCACTTCAATCAACAACAGTTTTTATTGCCGGTGGAAGAATCTCTCGGGCAGCCTTGAAACTAGCGCTGGCCCCAAACATATTTCAAAAGTAGATTGTGACAGAGATCGTGGACCGTAGCTGTTTATTGGATAGCGTTGTGCCGTGAGTGACCAGGCAGCTGCAGTACACTCCCTGATCTTTGCACTCTGGTGTGAAATGGTGATCAGATCTACAAATGTGACACTGCTTTGCTCACTCTTCATGCATGTCAAAGAGATGGGGTTGGGTGGAACAGCGGTCACACTACAAACTTGTTCCATTGTTTAACTCCAGCAGGCAGGTCCAAACTCAGGCCCCCTACTTGTGTCATTCAGCCAACTTCAGCTACACCAACATAGTTGTACTACAATAATGCTATTACACAATAATAATGATTCAAAAGAATCGTACCAAGATGGCACATTTTGGAAACTCAAAGATGCATCACAAAAAGACAGAAATTCAAAAGTTTTGAACAGGTGTGTTTTCCAAGGTTAAACTTTATTGACTGCTCAACATGATGTTGAGCACACACACACACACACACACACGTTTTTCTTTGCAATTCTTTTTTATTGTTTCCCAATATACTTTCTGTGCCTGGACCGATATTTTATAGATAAAATATCCTTGACTAAAACATGTACAGTAGCTCCCCTCTCTGTAGCCAGCACTTCAGAAATCTCAGTGGGACTCTCCTGATTAAATAAGGGGCAATAAAAATAATAAAATTATGTTTTTGATTGGGGGCTGGTTTCATGCTCTCTCTTTGCAAAACCATGTGTCTGTGATGTCACTCACTTTGACGTATTGTCCAGCAAAGTCTGTGACCTCGGCGGTGAAGCAGCCAGAGGCGTCAACGGGGCAGATGGGAGCCTGGTCTTTCTGGATGATGTTGTAGTCGGCACAAACCCTGTAATCGTCCTGTGGGAGAGACGCAGAGACGGTTCAATTATACGTCAGTTTAACTTCGGGTTTCAAGCGACAGATCAGATTGGATTCGCATTGCGTTCCCCAACAGCATTAAAGGGTGGATGAAGGATGTATGCTTCAAAGCTAAGAGCCCCCTATGGGGACAGTATAGAAAGCCTCAACATTAAAAATCATATATACACTAGTCCCTGGTTTATGGCAGGGGTGATGTGTTCTAAAAATAACCCACAATAAGTTAAATCCTCTCAGTACAAGCTGTATGTTTTAGGGCTGTAAAGCCCCTTACACACTTTATACACGTTTATAACAGTCTGAACTCCCGACTGCTGAACTGAGAGAGAGACTACAGATATCAAACCCGTTAGTTTTAGGGCTGTGCGCTGCTGCAGCTGTCAAAAGCTGTGCGTACATTGCAAAATATATCTGCAGGACACGGAGGGGAAGGAGCAGGACTGAGGGAGGGAGAGACCAGAGAGAGTGACCAAAGAGACAGCAGAGAGAAAGAGGGAGCAGAGAGACCACCTTATAACAGTCATGTTAAACTAGCGGTTATATGATGTTGGAGTATATATAACAGCAAAAGCCACAAAAGGTTAACCGCAACATATCGAGGGACTGCTATATAACAAATTATTATTTATATGTTATAATGTTGATAATCGGCTTCCAGATGTAAAAAACCAAATAAAACGTTTCAGAAAATGAGGACTGTAAGCCACTATCAAGATTATTCAAAAAATTATTTTAGGTTCAATTACCAAAATAAATTAACTTGTAATGTTGTTTGACCTGTATGATTGTATTAGACAGAGAACATATGCAGAAATCTATATCTTTCCATCTTGCACTAATGATGGAGATTCTCGACACATTTTACAGATGAAAAAAGGTACTTAATATTTGTTAATATCATTTATTGCCACTTTTCAAGATGAATTGCGTCTGTTTTATGGGAATGAAGCATAAATCTGGCCTCGGACAGCTCTGACCAGTTACAATCTGTTGGACAAACACATTTGCGGAAGATCTACAGCGAGCGGAGAGGCCCTGACCCGAGCCTCACAGATTTAATGTTGTCATGACGATCTGCGAAGTGACCCTGATGCCCATCCGTCATGGCTCTGACACGGCGGAATACATTTACACGGCTGAGATTTTGGCGAGCGGCTGCAACATGCCATCGGAGCTACGGACAACGGCACCAAACAGGGCTTTCCAATGAGGAGCGAGGACCACAGGGATGACAACACAGCTGGATCCTGGACCATTACTGCACTGGTGATTACAGACACTTACTTTAAGGAGAGAGAGCAGAAAGAAGAGAGAAGCCAGAGAGAGACCAGAGAGATAGCCCAAAGAGAGAGACCAGGGAGAGATAGGCCAGAGAAAGAGACCAGATAGAGAGACTAGAGAGAGAACAGAGAGGGGCCAGAGAAAGAATTAAAGGACATATGGGTGGGACTGTTGCAATTTGTATACAGGTGCGCTTAATAGTCCAGCAAGTCAAGTAGTTGCAAAATCCTACAGCTACATTCTGTCTCATGTTAAATCTGTTGTTGTCTCAGCTCATGAGCAAAGCTAAAGTGTGTGCGATATCTGCATCTCGCTTTAGCCGCCGAGCACACGTCCTTGAAAAGGTTAGAGCTGCTTCTAACGACCCGCTCCATCTCACAGGCCACATTTATCACAGAAGTGCATTAACACGTTTATAGTGGAATCCATTACCCAGTCCAGTCCACTCCAGTCCAGGGCAGGTAAAGTACGTGTTGACTGCTCAGCCTTGGTGGGACCCAACACAGAGCAACCATAACATGCTGTTCTTATAATAGAAAACACAATCCATTGCATACAGTGAGCCCTGTGAGTCACTCTTTGAAGCTTTAGGCCAAGAGCTGATTTGCCGAGTGAGGGTGGTGCTCTCTTTCACTTTTCCGTCTGAAAAAGCTGATCTAACGAGGTGATTGTGATCTCTCCCTTTCCCTCTGCTCTCTCTCTCCCTCCCTCGCTCCATTATCATCATTAATATTAACCAATAATAATTCCTCAATGAAGCCTCAAAGTGCTATTTTCTCCATGTGATCTTGTGTGTACATGTGGCTCTGTTGTTTCTGTATGTATTACCATTAAGACAAACCATAAATACATAATAACTTATCACGTACAGCTCCAAAGTACGGTGCCTGGTGGACCACTCCAGTACCCTCCTCCTCCTTCACGTAGTTATCCAGCACAACCTGGAACGCTCCAGTCTCGCCGCACTGAGAGATCGGAGGCAAAGGCAAAGAATTAGGGAGATTAATGAACATATGAGGACGACGCTTGACAAATCCACTGAGAATTGTTAAGCAAACATGTCGCGATCATTGTATTAGAGCAGAGGGAGAACAGAAAACAGACCTTGCTGAAGTACTGGAACAGAGGCTTGTATTTCTTCCCCTTCAAAACTTTACCAGGAAATCTACAAAGAAAAACAAGGAATTATGGAAATGGGGAGAGTAGGAACAGACGTGTTAGTATAGCCAATGCAACACACAATGTACATTGAACAGGAAGAAAAATAGAGTTCGGAACATGAATATTTTTTCTAGGGCTGCATCATATATCGGAAGAATATTGTGATTGCGATAATGGCAAGTGCAATAATTATAAATCATGGGTTTCTTCATGCAATATGAGTCTAGGATTGGCTCAAATCTTGGTATGTCAGCCTCAGTCCTGGGTTTCTGAGTGGTTCCTTGTTGATGGAGGAGGGTCTAAGGACAGTGATGATTTGGGGCATTTAGCAAAATTACTACACAGTGGTCATCCTGCTCCCTACAGACCAACGACTCCTATATTATTGCATTTCCTGTGGTCAAACAGTTTGATTCTTGGATCTGTTGTTGGTGAATCCATAACTTTGTAAAATCCTCAGGGACATCGGCTGATGTGATTTAGGGCAATAAACAAATACATTGAATTTAATTTAATAATTGTCGACACACGGGTAACAGGCACTACTTGTTTTGGACACAGCCACTCCTTGCAAATTCATGATTAAAGACGTTTAAATTTAAATCAATGCAGTGATGTAGGTACAACTTTAAGGACAAACACAAACCCCATTTGCTGAATCCAAATTTGAAACCGCTCTACGTTGGCAACAGTCCACCATTAATCACACTAATACGGCCGTGTCCCTGTAGATGAGGAGTTTGCCCTTGTTCAGAAAAAGATTCAAACATTTCTCAAGCTTCACTTTTAAAGCTACAAAACAAGGATCAACCTGGAAGGATTCAAAGTGTTTGTGTCTCACCCCAAATCCACAACATCTGTCGTCTCGGAGGAAAATGCAATAATAATAAACACATAGAGGAGTTGGTCTACAGGGAGCGCGATGACCACCGTCAATAAAAGTTAATGAAAGGAGAGTGATGATCCGTAACAATTCTGAACTAAGACGCTCCGCCGTGGGAGGAATAATTAGGACACTCAAAGATACTTCACAGGTCTTTATTCTTTCCCTCCATACACTGTGATGATAAACTATTACTGTAGCCACTGCTGCCCTGGAACACACTGACAGAGTGTGCCAACAGTGCCATCAGCCCCTCAGACCACCACCAACCATTCACACACACACCAGACTCATTCTAGGCAATGTAGGTGAAGTGTCTTGCCTAAGGACACAACAAATGTTTGGCACTTTACAGCCGCAGTCGCCCCACTGCGACACCTGGGTGTTCCCTGAGGTCTCCCATCACAGTACTAACCAGGGCTTGCCCTGCATAGCTTCAGAGGTCTGATGCGATTTGGCTTTCTAATGCAAGTATGGCCATTCAGAAACCCAGTTCCCGGACTCCAGCCTACAGATCATAGGGACTACGGGTGGAAAGAAGCTCTTGAGCTATAACCTGGTACAATGCATCATTCCCTTTGAGTTTAAGGTTTAGTGTACACTGTCCCTGTCACTTTAAAGAAAACAACTAAACTAAATCCTTAGTTTGGATCCTGGACTCGGGCTACAGATCCTGGACTCGGGCTACAGATCCTGGACTCGGGCTACAGATCCTGGACTCGGGCTACAGATCCTGGACTCGGGCTACAGATCCTGGACTCGGGCTACAGATCCTGGACTGGGGAGGCCCCTAGGCGGGGAGGGAGAGTCTAGGAAGAGCAGTCCGCATTTGCAGAAGAAAGGACTGCTTCCACGGCTTACAGACTGTACATAGGTGACACAGCAGTCTGAAATTCATTTTTATGCCTTTCTGTTTCCGCTCGGCCTTTGCGCTCGTCCACTGAGCTGAGAAATTGGGGACATGATTTGCTACTGTTGTGAGTGGTGAAAAAAAGCTTTGCTTTAAAATCCCAACAGTAACTTACTCCATCCGTCTCGAACTCCAAGACTGACTATAACCCTAGGGCATGGAGGCTGGCAATAAACGCAAGTAATGGCACAGAGCAGGAAGAGTTTTTTGGAGCAAGAAGCTTTTTAACACACTATAAACGACCAGAATTTGGTAGTTACTGTGAAGTATGGAGACACAGTCTCGCAAAGAGGAGACAGGAGAGAGGGGAGAGCAGACCACTCTACTCTGCTTTAGTATCTGGTACTGTATCCTAGCAACCTACCAACAACAAACCAGTATCCGCCTAAATTCCTTGACAACCATGGCTTTCATAGAAAACCATGGCAAAGAACGCTTTACTTGACCTGGATAGAACCAGGACCAAGAGGGTCTAAAGAAGGTGGTGAACCTGGTACTGGTTAAACAGGGCCAGTGGACACACTCCCAGTCATAGGAGAATAGGGTAGGGTAGGGCAGAGTAGAATACAGTAGAGTAGGGCAGGTGGAAACAGAGTTTAAATCTGGATTCATCCTATAGGTCTGGCCTGTTTTAGTCCTTCAATGAAGACTTTTCTGCACCAAAAACAATCATAGCATAACAGTGGAGCTGTGAACCCAAACCCACTCAGACCTACAAGGATGGGTCAGGACAGAACACTGAGGGACAGTGCTTGTGGACATCCTGAATTCACGTTCTACTGAGACTGAATTAAAAAAAGCTGCTGACACAATTGCGGCAAGAAGGAAGTACCGGTGCTCATCTTGGTGTTGCTCCTTATAATCCGAGTCTCTGGAGGATCTCAGGACACATACACAAAACGTAGCTGCCCTTATTAGCACAGGATAACCTACTAGCTCAAACTGACCAGCCATGTAAGCCCCTTCTGTCTCTTCTTTATATTTTGTATTGAGAATCTATTGCACATTCTAAAATCACACATTCTCATGAGGCACAGTCAAATAATGTATCATGTAGATTCAAAGCTGTGGAACTCACTTGTCCAGAAGAGTGAACTCGCTCTCTGCCTTGAACAAAGCTCCGAGTCTGGCTTCCATCATGATGTAGGTCTTGTCGTTGGCATTATCTGTGGAAAACAAATCCATGGCATCACATTAAAACGGTCAAAATCCTCCTGCATTTTGAGAGTGTCTTCCCCACAGCAGCTATAATAAAAACTGACTGAGAATCAAGACTGCCACCTCAGGCAGACACCAATCCACGAACAGACTCAGAACTTTTTTTTATTCATTTATTTGTCTATGCAATCAAGTATTTAGTCTCTCCCACTTAAAAAGATGAGGGAGGCGTGTAAATTTCATCATAGGAATACCTAAACTATGAAAGATAGAAAGAGAAAAAATATCCAGAAAATCATTTGCAAATTATGGTGGATGATAAATAATTGGTCAATAACAAAAGTTCATCAATACTTCAGTCATTGCCAACAAAGGGTATACACCCTTTATATAACACAAACATATTGTTGCTGGTATTTTGGCCCATTCTTTCATGCAGATCTCCTCTAGAGCAGGGATATTTTGGGGCTGTCGCTGGGCAACACAAACTTTCAACTCCCTCTAAAGATTTTCTATGGAGTTGAGATGCTTCTTACAAAGCCACTTCTTCATTGCCCGGGCAGTGTGTTTGGGATCATTGGGCCTCATTCACGAACGGTTCTTAGGAACAGATTTGTACGTAAATCCTACTTACGCGGTTTTTACGAAGAAAGTGGCATTCACGAATATTTCTCGTAACCAGAATTTCTCTTGGGCAAGTACAAATCCTACGAGTCCTCAGGAGCACTCGTACGCATTCAGTGCCGACATGTTCACACGCCGGGGTTGTCCTCTTTGGTGAAGTTGAATAAAAATACAACATTCCAGTGATATGTCCGTCATATCGATGTATGTATTTATTTATTTGTAGTAATCTTTATTAGTAATCTCTATTTATATACCACCTTTTTCACTGCAGATCTGGCCTACTTTTTAATTCATTTTGAAATGAAATGTGCCAACGCTTTATCAAATACATTGGAAATCTTGCCGTGTATTAGTGACCCCTTCCTATTTATAGGGGGCATTTCTTTATCCACGGGCCACAGAACAACGGCATATATACTGCTGCTGCAGGAGGTTACTGGGTCCGCGCTGAGTCTCTGCGCTGGTCTCTCCTATGGATCTATACGGGTCTGCACTGGTCTCTCCCATATACGGGTCTGCACTGGTCTCTCCCATGGATCTATACTGGTCTGCACTGGTCTCTCCCATGGATCTAGACGGGTCTGCACTGGTCTCTCCCATATACGGGTCTGCACTGGTCTCTCCATACGGGTCCGTGCTGCATGCTCCTGGATCCATACGGGTCCGCGCTGGTCTCTCAAGTCTGGTCTATGCGGTCTATCTTCGGTCCGCGCTGGTCTCTCCCATATACGGGTCTGCACTGGTCTCTCCCATGGATCTATACTGGTCTGCACTGGTCTCTCCCATGGATCTAGACGGGTCTGCACTGGTCTCTCCCATATACGGGTCTGCACTGGTCTCTCCATACGGGTCCGTGCTGCATGCTCCTGGATCCATACGGGTTCGCGCTGGTCTCTCAAGTCTGGTCTATGCGGTCTATCTTCGGTCCGCGCTGGTCTCTGCGCACCGGTCTCTCCAGTCAGGTCACTCCAGTCTATGCGGTCTCTCCTATAGGTCCGCGCTGGTTTCTGTGTGCTGGTCACTCCAGTCTCTCCTCGGGTCTGCATTGGTCTCAGCGCTGGTCCGCGCTGGATCTCCTCCCAGGGTCCAAAATATTTTGAGATTAATCTCAAAACATTTTGAGATTCATCTTTAAAATAATACATAATATATTTTTAAAGTAAGCTCATAACATTTTGAGATTCATCTCATCATATTCTTAGATTAATCTCATAATTTTGCTAGTTCGACTTTATTATCATAATATTTCGACTTTTAAGTCAACATTTTATAACTTTATTCTCAGTCTGGTAAAAGAAGAAAAAAGGGTGACTCTTTTGCTCTGTGTAACTCTTTGCTTTAGGCCTGTTGCTGCAGGGCCGTCTGCACACGGCCCTGCAGTCCCTTATATGGGCATTAGTGGGCGGTTACTTATGCTAAGTACCTATGCTAATGAAGCACCTGGCACGCGCGCTGTACTTACGAGGAAATGGGATTCATCAATCTGAGAGAACAGCTGCGAACAATTCAGCGGCTTACGAGTGCGTTGATGAATCCCACGTGGGGACTTCTTAGAAATCTACTTAAGGACAACTTGAGAAGAAAGTTGAGTAGTTTCTTACGAAGTTATTCGTGAATGAGGCCCATTGTTATGATGAAAGACCCAGCCACGTTTCATTGCTGATGATGTTGATTTAAAATCACCCAACACCAGGTCCCATTCATTCATTCCTTTACAGGGATCAGTCATCCTTGTCGCTTTGCAGAAAAACAGCCCCAAAGCATGATGTTTCCACCCCCATGCTTCACAGTAGGTATGGTGTTTTTTGGATGCAACTCAGCATTCTTCTCCAAACACGAGAAGTTGAGTTTTTACCAAAACGTTCCATTTTGGTTTTATCTGACCATATGACAATCCTAATCCTAAAAGCTGCTAACCTATTGCAGATTCAGTCTTCCCAGCCTGGTGCAGGTCTACAATTTAGTTTCTGATGTCTTCAGACAGCTCTTGGAGTGACAGGAGTTTGAAGTGTGACTGTTTCAGGTTGTGAACCGGTGTCTTTCATACCGATAACCAGTTCAAACAGGTGCCATTAATACGAGTGGAGGACAGCAGAGCCTCTTTAAGAAGGAGATACAGGTCTGTGAGAGCCAGAAATCTTGCTTGTTTGTAGGTGACCAAATACTTAATTTCCACCATAATAATCAAAAAAATTATTTCAAAATAAAATGTGACTTTATGGATTTTTTTCTCATTCGGTCTTTCATAGTTGAGGTATAACCTTGATGAAAATTACAGGCCTCCCTCATCTTTCTGAGTGGGAGAAATTGCACAATTGGTGGCTGACTAAATACTTTTGTGCAACAACAAAAAACAGGACAGAAGGAAGATAAAAATTTAAATATGCCCTGCATTTTATCCCCCAACATCACCAATTTTGCATGAACTCGGGTTTTTTGACCTATTCCATGACAATATTTACTGTACAATTAAATATTTTCATTTTCTTCATAATCAGACATGTTTTTGATTCCTTTCAAATGAAAGATGTTAGAAGTTCATGTCAATGAGTTGCTCTTAGCGTTCCATAATCTCACACACACAGAGACACACTTCTGTTTCATTGTAGTTCTTGCAAATGCAGTTCTGGGATTATATTTCTGTCTGTGGTTCGAGTCCTCTGACATTAATTTGAACCACTCTTGATCCGCTTCAGGCAATAGTTTGTGTTTGGCTTAACAACATTCGCAGATCAACCAGTTTTTTTAAGGACCCATATTATGCTTTTTGACTTTTCTCTGGTCTTAAACATAATTACAGTGCTATTTGGCCTTCATACAAATGCCCAGAGTAATTTTTTCATTGATTCCCTCAAGCTTTAGTTGGAGAGCACAGCTACGGCACGTTTCCAATCGTGACGTGGCACAATCCGTGATGTCAAAAGCCCGCCTTCAAGAGGTGATTGACAGTGGTGAGAAACTGAACCAGCCAATCAGCGCCGTCTATGGTCAGTGCGTGTGTAGCCTCCCTCTGAGTACAGCGTGTGGTCTTTTAGACAGCAAATATGCGTCTGTGATTTTTGCGATAGCTTTACGTGAACTTGGAGAAAATGTGTGTTTGGATGTGACGACAGTATTTGGCCCGAAGACGGAGAATGGGACAAATTAACAAATTAAGTGTGTCTGTGCTCTCTGAAGCCCTTTTTGTTTATGATTCTTATCACAAAGACAAACCAATGGTCTTTAACAGACACAAATCACTGCAAAAGGACAACTAACCAATAACTCCATGCTTTGAGTGTCTTCTTTAAAACTAGATTGGCAAATGAAATAAGTTTTATTTCAGGCCCTAAAAAACATTTTCTCACATCAAAAGAGAAAAGACAGTGGAGCATTTGTTGTGTTGCAGCGCACAGATAAGACAGTAGTGAGAGAACATGGGTTGCAACACATACATGGATAAATAGTAATACTTCTTACATTTGGCTTTAGGGGCTAAGTATAGAGTATAAGTATAGACCTGTAACACACACAAGGAGCTAGCTATATCCATGCCATCTACATATGTGATTATTATTGTTATGTAAATGAGCGGTCTGGGCAGAGGTGGACTTTTGTAGTACTATATTGTACAGTATTGCACATGTGATAGCAGTATTCACTATACAGATTTGTGATGATGCTACAGGGGGGTGGCTGCAGCTGTGAAATACCAAACTTTGGGAGGGTTGTCTCACTTCTGTCAGTGTGCCCCAGGGCAGCTGTGGCTACAGTCGCAGTCTATCACCACTGTGTGTGGTCATTCACACACAGTAGTGGAATTTTCAACAATGATGTGAAGAGATTTTGATAGAAAAATTCTGTATCAAACGCATATAAAATTATTTATATTATTACGGTCAGTTCGCATTGCAGTCTGACAGCAGCAGGAAGGAAAGACCTGCAGAACTCCTTCACACAAAGAGGGTGGATCACTTTGAACATTATCTAATTAAAACAAGTCATGAATACATGTTGATTTGAAATGTCACAATTTGATATTTCATTCCGTCCATCTGGCCACAATTCTCAAGGACAGAAAACAGGTGGATGTCAAACTAAAGGAAGAGGGGGGCATTTAGCAGAATAGATTCAGAGCTAGTGAGGATCATAAAGAGAGCAGAAGAGAGGAGGAGAGCAGAGGGGCAGAGCAAATAGAACAAAATCATTAGTATTCTGAGGAGGCCTCCAGTGCAGCACCAGCTCACACACTACACGTGCTTCCACACTGCCCCCTGCAGGACAAAACGGGAAAGTGCTTCAGTTTGGATGAAATCTAGGTCATTCTCTCAAATCCCACCAGTTCCTCTCAACAGGGACTGAAGAAATACAGCGGGAGGGCAACACCAAAACACCACAGCCGTCTCCAGGGCCCGAGCAAGGACGGACTCTTTTAAATGACCTCATTAGGAAAGTTCACGGCAGTTTAGACGCACGACATGGGAATCGCAGAAGAGACAAAATATTAGCTGTTTGCAGAGCCAAGGTCAGGCAGGATTAGGAATTACAAAATGATGAGTTTGTGTGAAGCTATTAATCTACAGTTAGCAGTTTCTGAATCTTCAAGGTCATTTGTTCCAGGAGGATTTCAGAGCAAGATTGACAATCAATTTGATTAATAAGTATGTTACATCTGTGGGATTCAATATGATGACATAGCAGTTAAAGAGGTCTCTCGCTCTCCCTCTCTGGACTCTCGCTCTCCCTCTGGACTAGAGCCCTGCACGGGCCTATTATCTGGGCCCGAGCCCGGCCCTGGCCCGAGGGGGTGGCGCCCCAGCCCGGCCCGGCCCGATATGGTTTCTCAATTTTCAGGCCCAAAACCCGCATCAAGCCCGCCTTTTTTTTTTTTTTTTGTAACCTCCCATAACAATGTTTTAGCGTAGTATATAGTGCCGCGCACTGATATGAACGCAGACTTAGCTAGAGGGCGGAGTTATACATGGTAGTGATGTGTTGCAATGAGTTCTGTGTGTGCGGAGTGGTGCAAAGTGAACGGCCGCATCTGTATGATGCCCAGATGCTGCAACACACCTGTAAGTAACGCTATGTGCCGTCAATGACAACACTACACAGAACAACAAACACTACACCGTGATAGAACGCTATATTCAGTGGGTGCGTTCGTAAATCTATTCTGCCGCTCTGAAAATGAAGAGCCCGAGCCCGGCCCGTGTCCGAGGTCATTATGCGGTCATCGGCCCGAAGCCCGGCCCTCGGGCTGTCGGGCCGTCGGGGCCCTCGGGCCAAGGGCTCAAGTGCAGGGCTCTACTCTGGACTCTCTTTCTGGTCTCAAACAGCTAAGGTAAGCAATATTACTACAACCAGAAAAGAAAGAAGACACAGAGAGAGTAGCATCATTATCATAAAGTCCATAAACACAGGTGTGGACATTCTGAGCAAATAGTGGTTCCACACACCCAGGCTTCTAAACCAGTTCTTCTTGATGAAATACATTTGAGGTTCAGGTTATGACTTGCAAGAGGACAGGACTGCCACTTTGATCCAATTTGAAAACAAACAAACAACCAGGGTTCCACATTGGGATATATCAACATGTCGTTCATAAATAAGATTAGATAAACCTTTGTCCCTCAGTGTGGAAATTTTGATGACATAGTTGCACACAATACCAAATAAAAAAGGGAGAAATAAGAGCACTATAATAGATAATGGATAATGAAGTAATTAAATAACATAATTAACTATACAGGTATAATTGCAGGGTATAACTAGAAGTTCCGTCTCATTTAAAAACAAAGACTATTATGATGCCTTCTGTCGATTTTGTATAATGAAACTATGCCTTTTCATTTTGTTTTATTGATCAACGTTCAGACACCTTCAATAGTAAAGTTAGCTCATCTTTACCATCTGCTGAATGAAAGCAAAAGATGGCTAAGTTTTGTGGACAAATGAAAGATGAGGTACAACATCATGATCGTAGCACTCACATAGTTGCAAATCTTCATTGGTAGTGATTTGCCCTTCATTTAACAGGGGACAGACAGTATGAAGTTTGTGCATGGGAAAAGGTCCGATGGCCACATAGAAACGTGAATGGGGCGGTTGGAGCTGTGCCTTTACCTGCTTATGTGCCAAACAATATTCAAGTGTAAACATGTAATTTCTGCATATTTCACAGCATTTCATTCCCTCGTATCACTGTGTTTAAGACAAATGACAAATTCAGCATATTGTATTGAGAATCTATCACACATTCTAAAGCTACACATTATCACCGAATTTTATAATGTGTAGTCAGTGTCGATTCAGAGCTGTGGAACTCATTGGCAAGAAACGTAAACTCGCACTCAGCCTTGTAGAGAGCTCCGAGTCTGGCCATTTATTGGTTTCATAAACATTCTATTGACAGCTGTGAGGGGCCACAAAGCTGATAGACAGGGATATGGCCCCCGAACAACAGTTTTTTTCCCTTAATATTTAAATAATAATATCAGTCCAATAAAAGAGCACAAAAACCCAGGAATTTAACCGAGTACATTTTTATAAAAAACAAAAGGAAAATTAGCTGCAGCTCCAAAAATGTAGGGCACATTCACCAGAGCTCACTTTAGTTGGACCATGGAAATGTGAAACCACCCACCAACTGTAAGGCAAGTTTTTTTGTATAGCACAGTTCATACACAGGGCAACTCAAACACTCTTCCAGCTTTCATTAGAGTCACGTTGAAGGTTTCCCATCTCCATGTGTTTATTCAGATAAATGAAGCCATGACCCACCTTTGACTTTGACGTAGGTGAACTCCGGGTTGACGCACAGAGCCAGGTTACTGGGGAGGGTCCAAGGAGTCGTGGTCCAAGCGATCAGAGAAACCTCCGGACTCTCCACAAGAGGGAAGTTCACAATCACAGAGGGGTCCTGCACATCCTGCACACGAAGAGAGAGCAAGACATTAAACCAGTGGATAGAGGAGAGAGACAGGAAAACCAGTGGATCAATTTAACATAGTTTGGTACGAAAAGTAGAAACTTAATACAGTATAAGGAAAAGTATATTGGTCATGAGAGGACCATCACTAGTACAACCATATTCTACAGATAACTTTTCTTCGTGTTTACATTGACCATCAAAATTCATGACTTGAATTTGCGAATAAGGAAAATAAAAGTGAATTCAGAAAAAAGACCTGTTTTTTTTTTTTTTTTATAAATGTTTCCACACAACTTTTATTGATAAAGCCGGGAATGCTGCTGGCCCATGTAAAAAACAAAAAGGCCAAAAAAAGACAACAAAAAATTCACACACACCAGGCATTCTAATGTTGTCTAACTGCCTAAGGACACAATAGTTTACAGCCGCAGCATATGTATATGAATAGTCAGAGCTGAAGTTGGCTGAATGACAAACGTTGACCAACCGCATTGGCTACTGAAACGGGCACAGAGAGTAGTATGAAAGAATACCTTATAGTTTTGATGGGACTCGAAGTTGGACAGAGGCGTGTTGCAGGCCGTGGAGAAGGGCATCACTTTGACGCCGCGATAAACCAGACCCTTGTCGTACAGCTGCTTGAACACCCACCTAAAGCAGAGAAACACAAAAGTTATACTTAATACAGGACAAGTCATTGAGAGGCTGTGACACCAGGCTTTAGGTACTAACACATAATGTGGAAAAGGTTTAGGAATTAAAATGTTTGGTTCTAACTACAGTACTTACTGGACTATTGAGCACCTGTGTATAAAACATAGCAGCTAAAATTTAAGAGAAAATACATGTTGTCCACAAACAGGCCACATGTTTAATGTAACAATGTTTAATGTAACAATGAACCACAGCAGACAGATGACTACTTTACCTGGACACAACAGAATTTGATTAGGTGTTTTAACCGTTTACTGGTGATCACAGCTAAATGTTTCGTCAATAAACGTGTCCTGTTCGTACAGAAAACGCCACAAAATATTGTCAAACTCTTCTGACATACAAACAAGTCCTGTGCATTTCCCTTCTCTGGTCTCCAACTCTCCTCCTCTCGGGTCTCTCCATCTCTATATCTCTATCTCTATCTCTGGTCCATCTCCATCTCTATCTCATAGTCCAGCCAGTTAAATGTATCCTTGAGAGTAATGTTGAAAGCTCACCAAACTGTCTCCATGAACCAGGGATAGAGCGTCTTGTAGTCGTTCTTGAAGTCGATCCATCGGCCCATACGCTTCACCGAGATCTAAACATAAACCCTTACTTTATCATACTGAGAGAGAAGAACAGACAGACTATGGATTCAGGTATGTTGACCCCGCCCCCCTCTGACAGCCACATTGGCCGGCTGTCGGAGGTGCTCATCCCGAGAAAAAATCCGTGCTTTATACAAAGCACAATGTGTCTATCCAACTGTCTGTGAAACTGTATGTTATTGCTCTCTGCTGTTTATTCTACTGTTTGTCGCATGGCGCCGTAAAGATGGCGCCGTGGCAAGAGCTCTGGTGTGTCGTCTTCTCTGTCTGGTGCACACCGGGGTAGTCTTGCACAGTTTTCCAATGTGGTTTTACTGCAAATGGCAAATAAATGAATCTGATCTGAATCTGAATCTGATCTGATCTGATCTGATCTGAATCTGAATCTGAATCTGATCTGAGGTAGAAGAACCACTTGCCTCCCATTCGTTGGAATATCTCATGACGATGTTCCTGCACTGTCTGTTGTATTCAGCGATCCCCATCTTGGCCACGTCCTCTGGTCCTTTGATTCCGAGAGTCTTGTCGATCTCATACTCCTAAAAACAAAATCAAAATCAGCGGAATAGTGCGTGGACAAAGATTAGATAGATGGGTATACATAATTTATAGATGCCCTATTTAGCAGCTGAGAAACTGATTAACCTTTAGATGAGACACTGATAATAATGATTAGCATTTTTAACAGGTTAACAGGCTATGTTGGCATTCTCCATCTATGTATGATCTATGTTAGCATTGTCAATCTATACACAGTCTATGGTGCTATTCCAGAAAAAATAGCCATTATTATTAAACAGATGCGTATATTGAGAGGAGTTGAGCATATGCAGATGAACAGGGGAGGTACCACTGGCAGGCCGTGACAGTCCCAGCCAAAGCGACGGTCCACGTGGAAGCCACTCTGATGAGCGAATCGGGTCACGACGTCTTTGATGGTCCCTGCCAGAATATGTCCGTAATGCGGCAACCCGGTCGCAAACGGAGGTCCATCGTAGAAGGTGTATCTGGAATCAACATGGGTTTGGTTTTGAGTCAATGTAAAACAGGGGCACAGTTAAAAAAAAAAAATAGAGACCGGAGAGACAGAAAACCAGAGAGCGGGACTTGAGGCGGCAGTAGCTCAGTTGGTAGAGCGTTGGCCTTTGAGCCAGAAGGTCGTGGGTTCAAGCCCCGCTCAAGACTTTCACCATCGACTCCCACTGACTACTGTCGTTGTGTCCTTAGCAAGACACTTAACCTCTGGGAACACCAGCCACAGTGGGGCGGCTGCGGCTGTAAAGTGCCAAACTGCCGTTGTGTCCTTAGGCAAGACACTTCACCCCCATTGCCTGGAATGAGTCTGGTGTGTGTGTGAATGGTTGGTGGTGGTCGGAGGGGCCGATGGCACATACTGGTTGCCTCGCTTCTGTCAGTGTGCCCCAGGGCAGCTGTGGCTACATTAGTAGTTTATCACCACCGTGTATGGAGTGAATGAATAATGACACATGTGAAGCGTCTTTGAGTGTCCAAAAAAGCGCTATATAACCGATGCATTATTATTAGAGAGCGGGACTAGAGAGAGGGAACAGAGAAAGACCATCATTTCAGAAAGTGTAACTGTTATTTTATACATGGGCTGGAAATGTTTTACTCTCTGAGTGGAATCTATAAAGAAGATAATATATATTCATAATGTTCTCATTTTAAGACATACCTCTAAAAGTAATAACAAGAATTTTAACAAGAAAACTCAAAATATTTAATATGGCAGAATGTCACTTGTGCTGTTTGTAAAGAATTAGAGAGAAGTCACATTTAAGGGAGAGCGAGACGAGAGAGAAGGAATGTAACAGCTTTCGAGGTTATATTTATGTTGATTATTATGGTTAGTATTGATTTATAATATTACATGGAGTAATAAAAACAGAAAACTGGCTATTTCTCCACTGTTTCAACCCCCTTCAAATGAGGAACTTTTAGAGTGGTACCTCGGCCTGTTCTTGGACTGTTTGAGACACTCCTGGAAACAGTCTTTGTCGTTCCAAAACTGCAGGATCTTCTCCTCCTCCGTGGGGAAACTGATGGTCTCCGGCACTCGCTCCACCATGGTGTCTGCAGGAGAAGTCCTCAGATTAGGTCCAAAACCAAAACTTCTCCCTGGCATTGAATACTAGCAACTGTCTAGCTGCATCTGAATTCATCCTTCAGTCTCCTTTTCATTGATCTTAGTGGCTTTGCATTTTAGGTGGAAAAAGTAGGTCACACCCTCAGTCGGGGATCTAAAGCCTCAGTCGGGGATCTAGAGCCTTAGTCGGGGATCTACAGCCTCAGTCCGGGATCTACAATAATAATAATAATAATAATAATAAATCCGTTTTATCTAGCGCTTTTTTGGACACTCAAAGATGCTTTACATGTTATTATTCTTTCACTCCATACACGATGATGAACTACTACTGTAGCCACAGCTGCCCTGGGGCACACTGACAGAAGCAAGGCAACCAGTATGTGCCATCGGCCCCGCTGACCACCACCAACCATTTACACACACACCAGACTCATTCTAGGCAATGGGAGTGAAGTGTCTTGCCTAAGGACACAACAGCAGTTTGGCACTTTACAGCCGCAGCCGCCCCACTGTGGCTGGTGTTCCAAGAGGTTAAGTCTCTTGCTAAGGACACAACGACAGCAGACAGTGAGAGTCCCGACGACCCTCTGGCTCAAAGGCCAATGCTCTACCAACTGAGCTACTGTCGCCCCTTCATCTACAGCCTTTAGTTCGGGATCTACAGCCTTCATTCGGGGACCTACAGCCTCAGACCGGGATCTACAGCCTCAGTCCGGCATCTACAGCCTCAGTCCTGGATATCGTTCATGCACATTTATTAACATTTCTGGATAGTGGTCATCCCTCTCTCTATGGTTCAATGGCTCCAATGTGTTTGTTATTAATGTCTGAACTAAGACACAGGAAAGAAGTGTTTGATTCCAAGATCTGTTGTTGGTGAGGCCATAACTTTGTAAAGTCCTCAGAGACGACTGTTGCTGTGATGTAGTGAGACAAATGCATTGCATCTGCTGAAGTTGATTAAAAGATGCTGAATGCTTCATGTTAATTTACTTCAGCTTTAGGACAACAGAGTTCCTCATAATCAAAGTGAAGATACAGCATCTGCATTCAAAACCTAATTGAGTTTCTTTAGTGATCGATAAAGCAAAATCTATCAATGCACATGTAAATAGAGCCAGACTGTCACACGCATAGACTGTATAGTCACACGTAGCCACCACAAACATTTACCAGATAACAAGAAAACTAGCTTAAAAGTTTAAAATAATGCCTTCACTAAAGGCTACTGTCAGAATTCACGCGGTTGAAATGTTTTGCATAAGTTATAAATGTTTTATGTAAAAAGTTATAGATCATTAAATCCCTTCCAAGTTCAGTGATCAGACCATAGGCAGCTGACGTTAGCCGCTAAAGCTAACCGGCTGAACTCATGCTAACACGGGGCTAGCTCAGCGCTGTGTCCGGACTGGCACCGTTGGCATTTATGTGTTCGTAGTGGTTTTGTAGCGTGTGCTGAATGTTACGGGGAAAATCACGTTGAATTCGGGAGATAAGACTCAATAGATGCACTCACATGTGGCAGAGTCCGGCTTCAGAGAATGATGCAAACTGAGATCAGCATGTACGGAAGTGACGGCAGTGACGGTCTGAGCACGGCCTGCAGAGGAGCGACCCCGCGCGTTTCTACTGCTTACTACTCCATATTTACATCTATTCTCTTCAAGAGGTTTAGGGAATAGGTTTAATCTGTGACAAAATGACAGCCCAGCACAAAGAGCAAAATTGGAGTTAAGGCCTTAAAACCAGCTCTGCTCATGTTTAGTGTTGTGCTATATGTATTATTCACTTTTGTGTGCTCATTCCTAATGATATTTAAATGGTGCAACACTGAGATAAGGATTTTAAACCTCCAGAATTCAGTAGACAACTTGAATAAACTCATAGATCACAAATTAAATTATTTATGCTAACAAAGCTAGTGAGGTGTCAGTAGCAATGGTTTAATCGGCAACTTCAGCTCCATCATGTCAGTTGAGCATAACCAGAAATAGTCAGTGCAACACCAGGTTTTCAGACCCTGTACAAGTCTGAACTACAGTGACTTACTGAAATTTTTTGACACCCCTGAATTAAACTTTGAAATACATGTGTTTAGTGCAGATGGATGAATAGAAACTAACACTCATCAGTTCAACAGGTTACAACACTTCCTCTGCGGCAGGTGTTTATTTTACATCATGTTTTGTTCAAATGTAGCTGAAAAAACACAGATTGTCAACAAAGCATCTCTTTATTAACACAGGGGGGACACAGTCTATTTCGGGGCCGCTGCAGGAGCCGGGGCCTTGTTCTGAACCTGTTTAGCGCCCTTCTTGTTGTGCTTTTTGGCAAAACGCATGTTCCTCAGGAATTTAGGATCCACCTGAAAAACACAAACAAGACAGTTAATACATGATTTAAGTCCGTTCTGTACAGGGCCCTCATCCTGCGGTTCTGAAACGTCCAATAAGGAATGTGTGTCACCTGCACAGTAAAGCCAGACACATAACTCTGAAGCAAAGCAGGGCAGGGCCTGGTTAGTACTGTGATGGGAGACCTTTGGGGACAACATGTGCCAGAGCACTGAAGCGCCAAACGGTTGCTGTGTCCTTAGGCAAGACACTTCATCCACATTAGAGTCAGGTGAGGGAATGGTTGATTTAACTGCTAATTAACACATCACGCGTTACAGCGCGTAACTTTTTTCCATGTTAACCTATGATGATATTTACACTTCTAGCGTTATACGCGTGTATGACGGACGTATGACGCGAAGCTGCGCTCTAATTTAGGATGGATTTCTAATTGTGCGCGCACCAACGCGTCTCCCATTGAAATCCCATATAAAACATGATTTTTCTCGCGGTTCTTGGCTCTAGATCGCATCTACACACACGGCACTTATGTCTAAACATCAGCAGGAGGAGCAGCAGGTTTTACAGTGATTCTGGACATCGTTTTTTTTCTTTCATAAAGTCTCACGTCTGGCCAAACCAGCACACAGAGACCATGAGGACAAACACATGCATGTGATTTGTGTTGCTCTACATCAGTCCTCTGGCCCGTACTGTCCTCTACACTGCTCCACAGACTACACAGGGAGAGCATCAGAAGACGCGGACCTGCGCGCACGGCCTGTGTAGATACAGGCCGTGCGCAGAGAGCGTGCAGTAAACGCGTACGCGCTGTTTACGCCTACTGTGAAAATTCCCTGTAAGAGTGGTTGATGGGACAGACTAGTTACCTCGCTTCTGTCAGTGTGGCTCAAGGCAGTTGTAGCGAGTAGTAATTCATCACCACTTTTTGGAGTGAATGAATAATAACGTCAATGTCCAAAAATATTTCCCTAAAACTGATGCATCATCATTATCAATATTATTAAACGCACTCCAAAACATAAATGTTAGAAATGATCCTTTGAGGTGACATGACTGCTTTTCAAACATTCTCACACGTCTGTTCAAAAGGTACTCAGAATTAGGGATGTAAAAAACTATAAATTTTCATGACCGACCACCGAGCCTCATTAACCGGTTGAAACCGGTTAACCGCGTAGTTTAAAATAGTCCACGTTCTTTGAAATAACAGCCATTTCGAGCCGCGTACTTTTCATAAGTGCAGCTCTGCGTTCTACTGGATCAGAGTTGAGACAGCGGCGCCCAAGCCCGCAACAGCTCCGGCACCTTTGCGCACAGAGAACTGCTTTTTTAATCTTCCCATTCTGCTGTGCTGCGGGTTAATACCAAAACTTTCTAGCAGCAAACGATGTCTCGTCCACATGGTCAGAGCAGCGAGTGACGAGCCGCGTCTCACAGGTCTTCACAAAAGTTTAAATACAAGTGATGTGTGTGGAGCTGATCCCGAGGACCATAAACACAAACATGTTCCATGTGGTTTGACTGGAGCCGTGTATTTGCGCGAATCCTTTGGGCTCACAGAGGAGCGCGACAGACCGGTATGTGTATGTATGTAAATGTAAGCTCCAATGTAGTTCTGACCCGCGCCAGTGTGCAACTTTGACGGTAACAGAGGGGTGTGTGTGTGTGTGTGTGTGTGTGTGGCTCGTGCGGCGTGAGAGTCATCCCGGAGTTTATAATACATTGGCGCACACAGCTAGATACAGACCCGCTCGTCACACCGCGCAAATAGGGCTTAAAATAGCGTTATTAAGAGACCTCCCCTCTACCCTTTTTCTCTTTTTTAACCGACAGCTTTGACCGGTTAACGCGGTGACGGTCAACCACCGGTTAAACGGTCGCCGATTTACATCCCTACTCAGAATCATGAACTAAAGTAAAATAAACGTTTGCAGCTTTGAAATCCAAACAAAAACCTCACGTGTGACCAGTGGCGAACAGATTCTAATCCATTATCCAAAACCTCTCAGAAACATCTGCATAATCTTCAAACGTTCCAAAATCAGCACGTTCATGAGAAGCAGGACACACTTATGCCACGTTCAGACGGGATCACGCGTTGCAGTGACTTTCAATGCAAAGTCAATGGTGACGCACATTCGAGCGTGGAACTGCATGTGCGTCTCGGGATGCATGCACAGACTGCGCAGCAAAGGCGCAGGAGCGGAAAAATTGATGCACGCAGGAGATAAACAATGCTGAACATTTCCTTGGGACGCTCGTGCAGCAGCAGCCAGGGACAGACTGAAAATACTCGTTAACAGCCAAAAGAGGAGCTACACCAGGACTAAACCAGGGTTGACAATGGGGGACACTGTGCTTGTGAACATATGGGTTCTCATGCTTCCATGAATGTATACAACTGCTTCTAGCATGTTTGCTTATACGAAAGTACCGATTAATAGTAAAATAAACTTATGGCGCACCTCCGTGAACACATTCTGCTGTTATATAAAGTCTCTGGAAGGTCTTCTGGTCTGAACACCCCTGCGTTTGGTGCGCACGGAAGCTGAGTTGCGGCGTTGGCGGTCTGAACGCGACACAAGCTTTTGAGCTATATATTCATTTTCAAATTATCTTTGGCTTTAACATGTTTGCTATTATTGACTTTTATTTTAGCTGGAGAGTTGAGATTTCAGAGTCCTGGCCCCAGAGAGCAGCTAAGTTTTTGACATCTAGATCTGTACATTATACAGATAGGGGAAAAACATTCCAACTCTACTCCTCAAAGCCCTATTCTGGAGGTGGAATCAAACTCCAGGACCTTCTTGCTGAAAAAAAGAGGAAGCTCACCTGTGTGCCACAAAAGGTTTATTTTGTAGTACAACAATCAGTGGAACACCTCCCACCCACTGCACAGGACTGTAGAGGAGCTACTTCAGTGGAAGACTGAGGCACCCTCAGTGCAAGAAGGAACACTACCGCAGGGCCTTTATCCCCACTGCTCTCAGACTGTACAAGAAGTTACTTGCACTAGGACTGAAACCTGCAATACTATTGCCAGTTTCTTACGTTGCCACTTTTTATTGTACATAACAGATCCTGAAAAGCCAATATTTTTTGCCTTTAGCGTATTTGCACACTTTCTTCTGAACAAATCTAGAGTGATTCCATCTATGCCAGATGTGACATGTACATTTTTACTGTGTGAGCAATAAATTCTATCTTATCTAAAACAAATCCCTTAATTTGTCTCCATTGTGTCTTAAAAAAAACTCAGCCTTGAGTGTGAGCAGAGTTCAGGCTAAACAGTACCAGAGACTGCAACAATGATGGAATCACTTGATAATTAGTTTTATACAGCATTTCAGGATAATCAAAGACCCTTCATCGCACTATTCATTCACTCCATAAACTATGCTGATAAACTATTGTAGCCACAGCTGCCCTAAGGCACACTAACAGAAGTGACCATTCACACACTAATGTGGGTGAAGTGTCTTGCCTAGGGACACCCCACTGAGGAATCTGGTGTTCCCAAAGGTCTCCCATCACATTACGAACCAGGACCGCTCTATTTGCATCACTACTGTCCAACCTAGCTCAAACTTTGACAGCAGAATCAGGGCCATCTCAGAACATCAGATGCACAGAGAAAGTTTGATGCATTCATATTTCTTTATGGAAATCTATCTAGTGACATTCATGAAGTTTTCACCGCATACATACCCCCTTCAGAGACTCGTAGCGCTGAGACCTGGGCTTCTTGATGCCATTTCTGTGGTGTTTACGAGCTGCACAGAGAAAACACATGCTTTTAAACTCAAGACAAGAGACATGAGAGCTATGCTGCACGACAAAAACAGGCCATTACCCTGGTTGTGGAACGTGTGGTTCTTTGACTTTGCCATATTGAGGTCTGGTTAATCTGAAAAGAAGAGGTAACACACTTAGCATACGTAGCACATATATAGCAGAGTATCATTTGTCAATATATACCAGCACAATAATTCCTGTACATTTCTGAGTAAAACACAACTTAATGGCTTGAATGCATCCGTTAGGTATGTCAGGGAGATTCAGTACGAATGGGAATGTTGACAATTACGGGAAGACGCGTTAGCTAGCTTAGCATTAGCCCACTATAAACATCATATTTAACGTATTTAGGCACCATCATGTTATAATTTCTAGCGGATGTTGTAGTGATGAAACGTATGCATTGGATAATGTAGTCGGATTAAACTGTGAGTGTGTATAATTCAAGGATTGATTCAGATTAAAAGTGTAATTTGAAGACACCAGTACCTGCCACACGAACAGACACAAGCGGAAGAGGGAGCGGGATACACAGGAAATGAATAAAAGGGATTGGACACGTGTTTTGGCCACAGCGCCCCAAGTGGTGAAGTGGTTGTATGACCAGACCGCCACAAGATGTCGCTGTCTCCGATGTGTTGGCTACCCCACTACAGATACCAGAGATGTGATTATTTCTATCAAACAAAATGTGAACCGCCAAGCTGCAGGGCTACGTATTTCCCCCTCACGGACAAATTATGTTCAATGTATCGCCCTAAATCATAACAGAAGTCGCCTTGGAGGATTTTACAACAGATCAGAGGATAAATAATGTTCATACACAGGAAATGCAATAACAACAAACACTTAGGAGCTATTGGTCCATAAGGAGCGGGATAACCACTGTCCAGAAATGTTAATAATGTAGACTGTAGTGTAGATCCAAGACATTTATATTTTAAATTCACTCATCTATCATCTAGTCACTTCTCTCATATTCTCTGCTGCTATTGTACAATTTACACATCTGTAAATACCTCCAAACAAAGTGCAATTATAGCTCCAAAGTTGTATTTTATTCTATGTTATTATCTTATTAATAGGAGTGCTCCTATTTCTTACTTTTTATTCTATGGTAATGTGCGCGATTATGATATAATGAAGGACTTTCTTATCTTATCTTAGTTATATTCAGCATTAAACAGAGTTGAAGTGGTCAGCCAGCTACTTTTGGTATCTCATGTTTTTTTCTTGATACAGCTCTGACTGCAGATTCTGCTCCCTCTTCACCACAACAGTCCGATAGTGCAGCCTCCATCCTTCCCTCAGTTGTAAACAAGACTTGAATCCTCCACTTGAGGAAAGACCTGCTTAATAAAGACATAATTCTTGTGATAGAACGAGGACCTGGAGCCGTCCACCTGCCGCAGTGGGATCAGCGATTAAGTTTCTCATTTCTGCTTCCTGCTCGCTGTAATCTGACCTCGCCATGACCTCTGTGATCGGCTGGCTGCTGTCATAATGATCTCCTATTGTGGCAGGCTTTGTCTTAGCCACCATTTTTCCAATTACTTCAATTACACAGGCTAATACCGCACTCTGGGACGGCCTTAGGCACTATGAGCAAACGAGATTCAGTAGTCAATGCAAATTTGTGACTCTAATTGATTCTAATAGCTGCAGCAGAGGACCCATGTGTATAATGACACAATACATTCACAGATGCCAATCCAAACCCGGCCTCTTTACCCTGCATCTACAGTCTGTCTGTCTGTCTGTAGGAGCAGATCCCTCTCTCAATATGGGCCTCTGGGAGTTTTCTCACTTTTTCCTCCTGAGTTTCAGAGTGGTTCCATGCAGATGCAGGAGGGTCAAAGGACAGTGATAATCTGGGACATTTCTGCACATTTATTAACATTTCTGGACAGTGGTCATCCAACTCTCTATGGCCCAATTGCTCCTATGTGTTTGTGATTATAGCATTTCCTGTGTTAAAACTGTTTTATTCTCTGATTTGTTGGGGAATCCACAACTTTGTGAAGTACCTAGTGATTTGGGGCTATACACAAATACATTGAATTGAATGGAGAGATGACTCTCTCACAGCTTCAGAAGTGACAGACAGTCAGATAATCTTTGATTATGCAATTTTCTGCTTTTTCCTCCTGAGTTCTTCCTGTGAAAAGGTTTTTGAAATGTGTTGAGATTGGTGTGAAATTTCTTCTGTGGGTTTTTCATTCATAAGTAATTTCTCTTAAATGATCGATTCACAACCAGTAGACGAACTCATTCCAGTTGTTGGTATGGCTTTGTGACATCTGTGAACCCTCACAATCCGAGATCAACAGAAACAAACAGAAACGCAGGATGACACAGGGTTCTTCAATCAGGTATGAATAGGATATATGGATAGGATGGATAGCTAGATCCCTAAGAAGACCCAGTTCACTGGACTTAATGACTACAGACCCGTGGCTCTGACATCTGTAGTCATGAAGTCATTTGAGTGCCTGGTCCTCCCCCACCTCAAGTCCTTCACCTCCTCCCTCCTGGACCCCCTGCAGTTCGCCTACAGAGACAACAGATCTGTAGACGACTGTAACAGGATCCCACGCCTGGATCCTGTTTGTAGACTTCAGCTCTGCTTTCAACACCCTACCATCCCTGCTCCAGGACAAGCTCTCCCAGCTCAGTGACCTCCTGATGGACAGTTAGCAGCGAGTGCGTCTGTTGAAGAATGTCTGGAACTCTAGGATTATAAATACAGGAGCCCCACAGGGCTGTGTTCTTTCTCCCCTGCTCTTCTCCCTGTACACCAACCACTGCACCTCCAGCCACGACTCCGTGCGGCTCATCGAGTTCGCGGACGACATCACCCTCATTGGACTCATCTTCAACAATGATGAGTCCGCCTACAGGAGGGAGGTGGACCGGCTGGTGTCCTGGTGCAGTGGTTACAACCTGGAGCTAAACGCCCAGAAGACAGTGGAGATGATTGTGGACTTCAGGAAGAGCACTGTCCCCCCGCCCCCACCCTCCGTGATGGACTCCCCCATCACCTCTGTGGAGTCCTTCCGTTTCCTGGGCACCACCATCACAGGACCTCAAGTGGGAGCCGACCATCAGCTCCCTCATCAAGAAGGCCCAGCAGAGGATGTACTTCCTGCGGCAGCTCAGGAAAGCCAAGCTGCCTGCACAGATGTTGGTGCAGTTCTACACGGCCATCATCGAGTCCATCCTCACCTCTTCCATCACCGTGTGCTTCGCTGGAGCCACAGTCAGGGACAAACAGAGACTACAGCGCATTGTGCGCTCTGCAGAGAAGGTGATCCCATTGCTGCAGGACCTTACAACGCCCGAGCTCAAAGTTGGGCTGGTCGTAACACAGCCGACCCCTCTCACCCGGCACATGGACTGTTCCAACTTCTCCCCTCAACCTCCCGCCACAAGAACAGTTTACCCCCTCCAACGTTGGACTCTTAAACACTTTATAACCTGTCCCCCGCCCTTTATAAAGTCGCCTTTCTGTCTTTTATAAAGTCACCTTTCTGCCTTTAAAGTCATCTTTCTGCCTTTTATAAAGTCATCTTTCTGTCCTTTATAAAGTCACTTTACTGTCCTTTACTGCTATCACCTTATTGCACTGCTTTCTGCATATTGTGTGCACCATGTGCACTTGTATATTGTATATAGTAATAGTGGTAATAATTTCCTTTTAATTTTTACACCTTTGAAGTGTATGCTGATTTGTATTATTTCTTACTCTATTCTTTACCTATTTTCTTTGACTGATGCACTGACCCAAAGAAATGTCCTAGTCTCTGACTTCCTGTTACTTTCATGGCAATAAAAATGAAAATGATTCTGATTACCTGGATGAGAGCAACAATAAGAGTGTTTTGTACCTGCAGAATAAAAAAAGAAAAACTGCCCAGAACTAGGAATTGCCATCACATTAGTGCTGGTCTCGGGTCTTTATCCTGAAGTCCTCTTACATTAGTCCTGGTCTCAGGTCTCTGCACTGGCTTCGTTTGGCTCAGAGAATAGACTTGAATGCAGCTCTGCTTTTGAATCTTTTACCAAGATTTTACCAAGATTCAATATTCAAGATTTTTTTGTGTGACTACTTTAGGAGAAATTTGGTTTGAACCCATTGGTCTGCTACATATTAATACAAAAAATACATACACACAAAGACGCCAACACACACATGCTATACAGTTCACACACACACACATACACACACCCTACCTCATCATATCCTTATTTAACAGATTCAGTTCTTATAACGATTGAGTTGGCACCATGGCACTCTGTACCTTCTCCCAGAGTTCAAAAGCTCATATTCAGTGAAAAGTACATGTGTAGGATCAGAGAGGATGCTCCTGGTCTGTCTCCTCATGGCCAAGAGGGACAAGCATGCCCAGGATTTTCCCAGCGCTTTTAAATCAGTTCAGTATTTGTGTTTTGGATTTGACGAGAAGATTCCCGAACCAGCTGGTAATCCCATACCTCAGCAGCGATTCAATGGATGCTCTATAGAAGATGAGCATGATGGTCTTTGACACAGCGAACAGGCTGAGTCTGCACAGAAAGTGGAGGCGCTGATGGATTCTGCTGCACCCATTAGCCACATGTGTGCTCCAGCTCACATGTGAACCAACTCAGACTCTGAGAAGCACAGGGACTGACCTCCTGCTGGGACTATGTGGGGTACAGGGTTCTAAACATGGGGGGCAGATTTATGCAGCTAAAATTTGGAACAGTCTTCCCGAAAATGTGAGACAGGATTTTTCTCTAACAATGTTCAAATCCAGTTTGTCCTTCAGTTGTTGCAGGATTGTATCTTTACTCTTTTTAATGCACTGTGATTATTCATGATGTTAATGCCTTGTCTGATTGTTTCTCACTTGTTTTGTTGTAGGTCTGTGTTTCTTTTTCTTCTCACATTTCACTGTGTGAGATGATGGCTTGTCAAACGTGCATGAGGCAGGAACTCAACGTGAATCTTGGGGCTTCCCTTCAGTTGTCTCCTCGGCTGTGATTGGCTGCGGTGACTGAGACCTGAGGTGAATCCTGTTCAGGCAGAAGAATCCGTGTGAGATCCTAT